ACGACCAGACGCTGCTAAATTTAGTAAGCTATCAGAAGAGTGTTTACCAACGACAAACTCGTTGGGTTTAAACTTCTGGCTGGCCACGTCTTAGGGTCTTCACTGCCCCACTAGGGGGGGAGTGATCTGTAGCGGTAAATAAATCCCTAAAATAAATAGCACTAAGTTTTCGACATTGGATGCTGACCATATGTTTTAGTGGACTCATCTAGCTGAAGGCGCTCGGTCAGGCATCTGCACCAGATCACGTGTGGTAACGCCGTGCTCAACATCAACCACAATCGCTAGCCAGATTAGATCAGAGAATTCCGATATATTGGTCATCGCCAAATATACTCTTCCGATCTCCTCGATTCTGTCTTTTGATTTCTCTGGGCGGGAACGAAATATATTAGAAGGTGTTACTGGTAGAAGCGTTGTCAAACACTGAATACCTGTGACATCATCAAGTGAAACTAATGATGTCATTATCACCACAGTCAGCAAGATGTACGTTTTACTTTACGTGAGTTTATAGAATTATGATCTAGCTTGGTAATAATACCACTTTAATAATAGACCTAATCACGACATTGTAGACGTTTTTGATGTGATCAGTCAATCTTTGAGAACTTGAGTGAAAATCTAATCCTGTCGTGGCCTTTACTAATATAATGTTCAGCGCTACTAAATAACATATTGACTGGATTTTCGTTGTTTCAGTCTTTTCAGTGCCAATCATTTGCATAAACGTCCTATAATACCAAACCCTACTAATCTACTCAAACAAACGGAGGTTAGTAGACGATGGTGCTAAATTATCTGTTTGTGGAACTTAAGTTTCTGGTCTCAGGTTATGTCTCGTCACGATTAAACATATGATATATTTTTACAGGCATGATCTATAAACCACAACATTACTTTGTTTACAGCGTGATTCCAAAGTAGAGTCGTTAAATAGATTTAATCAACGAAAGTAAAAGACAGCACATTTGTGCAGATATCTCAGAGCGTAAGTCATTAGGTTTATGTTTTAGTATTACATTGAGTGCAGTTTAAAAAATATGTTTCCAAAGTGGCATCGCGTCCACATGGCACACCAGATTCAGGAGAGTCGTATAGCGAAGTAGGCGGGAAAGTAGAGAAGAATATTAGTTATAGATAAAGCAGTGGGTAGTGAAATAAAGTTAATGTTATGTCAGCATAGTGCACGTGAGAGTAGAGGGCTGATGAAAAGTAGACAAGAAGGAACTCACATCAACTTGGTGCCAATGTTTTTTGTACTATCCCAATCAACTTATTGGTTACAGGGGGTCGTATTCATGTAGGCAATAAGCAAGAACTATATTACATATAAAGTAAATTGTTTGTGGAGTTTGAAGAAGAGAATCATACTGGATCAAAGCCGTCTTTTCCATAGGGGTTTTAGTCCTAAGACATGGCTTGGGGAACTGTAGTCGATGAGCGAGTTGGTCTTAAGTATTCTATGGGCGGAATCTTGTTGTATTCCCTTCACAAGAAAGATATCAGAAGGGCGTACGTTGGAAAATAAGAGTATTCAACGACATGTTTTACATAAACCTGGTAAAGAATGATTTTGGATTCATTTTGAAGGGAGTAACGAAGAATAGTGCTAAGCAATTTCCGCAATTTAGATGGTCTGGAGGAGTTATTTTCAGGGAATTCAAGACTGTGAGTAATTTACTACTAGATTGGCTACTGATGTGAATTTGGGTAGTATGTTCTCGTTAGATGTTAGTTTCATTTTAGAGGACATGTATCTAACCCTCAGTGTTTATACCAGTTAATTATCTTGATGAGTTTATGTTGTATTGTCTGCATAGTAATACGCACATCACAAGTGTCAGTTCTGTACATGACGTTTGAGTCATCAGAATAAAGGTAGGTTTAATCTGTGTTAAAGCCCCTGCATATATTGTTGATTTGGATTGTAAGTAGCAATGTACTCAAGACACTATCCTGCACAACACCACTGGTTATTGACCGCGAGGTCGATGTAGCAGAGTAAATTTCGGTTATTTGGTGTCTGTTCTTGAGAAAAGATCTAATTCATTGCAATAGTGGGTTTGTTTTCCCAACTGACTTAAGTCTGTTGATTATTTCGTTACGAATTACCTTACCAAAAGGCTTCTTAATAACGAAATACAATATAACCGTTATTTTTTATCACGTTTGCGAGTAACCTCGTGAAAGAAGTTTATCAGGAATATATTGCTGGACGTTATTCTAAAGAAGTCGTTTTGTGACTAGTCTATTAGATCTTCCCTAAGTAGGTGGTCAGATAGTTGATCTTGCATCACTTTTTTCCATTATATAACCGATCTCAACGTCAAACAGATACGGGATGGGTACCTTGAGCCTTGCAAAACACGACCAGAACAACCTTCAACTACACACTACATCTAAATTACATGACCATTTGTATATTTGTAAGCGCCACGACTAGATTAGACCTGCCAAAAGCGAATTCGAGAATATGATAGTTTTGGGATTTATCCGGTCGTTAAAAGCCCATGACAATCTTCATTTCACATAGTCGCTTGAAAAGACAGCAATGAATTCAACCAACTGGTGATTATCAGCGACTTAATACGAGAACCATCCAGGTTGTTACCCGTTGCCATACATGACATCCCAACTAACTTAAAACGTCAGACTGTTTTATCTAAAATTGACATTCTTAGGCAATGTTTTAAAAAGACACTTACGAAACAGCTGTCATCATTCCGTACAGACTGTATACATTTTCGTACACTCACGGTTCAAGAAATACTGTGCAAAACCTTAGGAGATTCATTGATGACGTACTTATCAGTCTTAACTCCATGCACATATATTTCGATTACTGCTCAACCACGTTCTGACGGAGAATCTCAACTCCAGCATCCGGACCTTGTTCTCAAAGGACACAAAAATATAGCATTACTGAAATCATTCAGTAATATCAGATCGAAACCGTATTCTAGATCTTCCTGGGTAATACTATCGACGTCCATGGTATTCACACTTTACAATTTAAGTTGTGGACATTCTAGGTTATTCATAACCGGCAAAAGTAAAGTAATAAAGCACTTATTACGACCCGTTGTTTTTAACGACGGTTAATCTTGATTTGAGCGTCTCTCACAAGACTCCACTGACTAACTTCGTAGAAGCGCTAAATACGTCAACTTGGACGACATCATGAAAGTATTTTACAAAGTTAAGAAATGTTTCGCAAAATCCTTTCCACATCTGCTTCAATTTTTATACGTACTGTATTCTTGTTGGCGTTTTTTCTAACAAGTCTTCTTCTACTGGTTGAGGTCGCCAAATTCCATGCCCAACCTTTCTCTTGGGCTTAAGACCGGCAATAACTATAGAAGAGCTATAAATCAAGCTGATATTTAGTAAAAACACATTATAGTTATTCATTAGAATTTCATGCAATTTATTACAATAAAAACAAAAAGCTTATGCATATTATTGTCATATGAATTGGCGCCTAAATTGCAAAACAAACAACCATTCAATATACAAACCTTCATATATATATGTATATCAAGAAAAAACAAAATAAATCAAGTTAATATCAACAATAATTTCCCGAAATGATTCACCCCCCCCCTCAAATGGACAAAAATTAGTTTTATCTTTAACAAATTAGTAAAACAAGAACAAAAGATAAAAAACAAACAAACAAACAAGCCAAACTGAATAAAGGAAAAGAAAGCTGTTTATAATTAGATAAAATATAAATAGATGCAAGAATATTTCATTGACATAAATAAAAAAAATTTTACTTTCATCAAATTGTAACCATGGTAACAATAACAAAATTGTAAAATATATATTACCGGTTAAATATATGACATAAGATTCAAGAAACACTTTATTTTATATTAATATACAATACTTACAAAAATTAATTCTCTTTAAATATACAAGTAAAATATTAGAATAAGACAATAACAAAGAACACAATTACTTACAAAGACAATAGACAGGTCACTAAGAAGAAAAAGAAGAAACATAAACAAACAAACAAACAAACAAAAAAGAAACTATTTGAACTAATCAATATACAAACTTTCATAGTTTTATTCCTTTGCAATAACAAAAAAGAAAGGAACTTTATATTAAGATACTGCATCATAGAATCATATACTTTATAGATAAGGTCGAAAAAGTTTATATAATTGTGTTTTAATATCATGGGAATTTTTCAGTGATTAACAACAACAACAACAACAACTTCAAATCAAACTGTATTGCGAAATCAGTCTCATCTACACACTGAAACACACATACATACATACACACAAAGTCGATTGATGAAAATAAGTGAAAACATTTTACGAAACAATCCATATTTGTCAAATAGATGAAATATATATATATATAAGCACAATATACACTAATAAAGAGTTGGTGGAGATTTGTAACTCAGGTGGATGATTTTGATGGAGTTTTATTCTCTGAGCTGGATAGTTTAGTCGTGGAGCTTTCATTGTTCTTCTGAACGACAACATCATCAGCACAAACTTCAGATAAAAGTACTGATGATGTCGTTCAGAAGAACAATGAAGGCTCCACGACTAAACTATCCAGCTCAGAGAATAAAACTCCATCAAAAACTAATAAAGAGTTCAATATAGATATATACGAATGAAATTCAAATGGCATAGTATTATTTATATTAGATAAAGTAATTGAAGTGATAAAAGATAGATATAAAGGAAAGGAGTGAAAAGAATAAAAACACCAAAGGTAGGTAAAGCACTTGATTCTTCAATAGTGTTATATCTATACCTTAATACTGAAGAACATATTTACAATACATGGAAGATTACTTTTCTATTATATAAAAAGAAAAGATACAATTCAATGTTAAATCAAGAAGGATTAGTTCAGCTGAAAAGAGAACTCTTCATGACTGAATGAATCTTTCTTATTGAATATCTCTTTTCATAAATGGATATTGTATTCCATTTACACAATTCCATGTCATCTTTTATAAATTAACGTACAATTGAATGTAATTGTTTATTATTATTATTATGATAATAAGAATTTGATTTTATACGTGGATGCCAAATAAATTTTTGTCCATTATTAACACGCATTTTAATACTGGCACCTTCAGCAATATGTAATGCTTCAATAACAGATTGCATTAAATTTTGTGCATTACCTACTAATGATTCAGTATTTTCTTGATCTTCTGTAGAACCTATAAAACGAAAAAGTGAAATAAAGAAGAAAAAAGAAAGAATAGAAACAGTAAGGAAATGAGATTGGTATAAATGAATGGGATAAAACAATTGATATTTTTGGTGTATGGGATACCTGGAAGCACTGGGTGGCCGTTTCGTTCTAATATGGGACTCTACAACAGTGTACATCCACGATCCAGCTTATGGGATTCAAACTCGGTGCTTCCAGTCTTGCACGCGAACACATAACCTCTAGACCACTAAAGTGGTTGGCATTTAACGGTGTTAATGTCTAACTTCAACTAATTCACGAAATTGCGCGACCATCTTCCATTGTACTGAGGTAGATACTTATCTCTACCCGACATGGATTAGCTCTTCTGGTCACGGCTTCTCACTAGAACTCTGAGAATTCCCTGACGAAGCTAATCACTAATGAGCACATGGTAATTGACAGTATGGGGTTGTGGAGATTATTAAATTTTTGATTGAGATCATGAATCGATTGATGTTAGAACACTATAGGACGAAATGGCCGTTCAGTGTTTTCAATGATGGTCGGTTCATGATTTTAATAAAAAACTTAGTAATCTCTACAACCCTATACTGATAATTTGTGACATCATGATGTTCATCAGATGAATAAGACATTAACTTGACTAGTTCATCAAGTAAAGATTTGTATGATTGGCTTCAAGTCTTAATCTTAATGCAGGGGTTTGTGTAGTATCACTCGATTACCTTAAACTGAAGGGTTATTCAAAAATGTGACTTGGTAGCTGACATTTAAATGGATCAATAATTGTTTGTACTCAGTAAAACATGAGTAGGAGTTCCCTGACAGTGGCTGTATAAGCATGGTCATGTGAGAGCACTGACTCTCCTGGGGAGTTTACTGGAAGAAATATCGAAGTAATAATTCAAAGCTAACAATCATAGACAGATTAAAAGTACTTAAAGAGAAATACATTTAAAATTCGCATTGTCTTAAGTAAAAGTAACTACAATGAACAGTCAATAAATTAGTAACTGACGTAAAGTTACCTAAATAATCGAATTTTATTTATTATGTTTACAATGTAACTACCGTAAAGTAAACCTCGAAGAGACTGTTTTAAGTATCTCAACAAGAGATTAAATAACAAAAAAAAACATACAAACCACTGAAGTTTAGTGGTAATGATATTTAATACAAAATAGATAAATCTCAAGTTTGATTTAGTCAGAAAAATCATCAATATGTAATTGAGAAAACTGAATCAGAGAAACAGGCAACTGGCGATCTTTGATAATTATGAGAAAGGGGGGAGTGTGCAAATTGTACTAATTTATAGTTGAATTCATGATGCCGCCTCAGTGTTCTAGAGATTAAGCGTTCGTGTGCGAGATCGAAGGTCTTGAGCTGGAATCCCGCGAGCGAGGTCGCGGATGAGCACTGCTGAGGAGTCTTATACTAGAACGAAACGACCGTTCAGCCTTTCCATGGTGGTTTATCTGTAATCGAACTTGTGATGGCATTATACCAATAAAATCATCTTTACTGAATGAATTAATTGTTATGTGAAAAAAACCACACTGAAATTAGCCACACAAAGCTTTTTTATAGAAAAGGTCAGATATTTTGGCAAAGCAGAAAACGTTTAAAAAACTGTCCCACACAATTGTACATAGTTGGACAGGTGTAAAATTGTTGGAACACTTGAAGTAACAGAGAACGTTTAGCAAATATCAGAAATGATGCAAAGAGGCAACGAAGAACATTGGATTAAGATTCTAAACACATAAACATTGGTGCAAGGAGGCACCAAATAAATATGCGCTGGGATACTGCCCAGGTACCCAAATTGAAGCAGGTGATTTTCTTAGTGGGCCACTTCTCGAAACTTTGACCGAAAGGTCTAATCCACAAGATAGTGAAGCAACGTTAGTAGATGCAGTACTATGGTAGCCGGTCATCGACAATAGGTTCATACGCCATCTGTTCCTTTAGGATCCTGTAACCCATGAGGACAATCGGTTTGAAATCAAGGTTTTCCAACTCCCCTAGGTGGATCCACCAACGCAGTTAAAGCGACGGATATTCGCTTTTTATCTCGATTTCGTAAAAAAAGGACTTCCCTAGAAGTGGTTTTATTGTACGTGGCTATGTGAGAGCATTAAGAGAAGGAGAACTGACTCTCTCCACTTTCAGTTGTACCAGAGCATGTGTAGGCGATCACTACGCCCGACCACCTACTGCTACAGTTGGAGCTATCACCATTGAGTAATTCATACCAAGACTGATCATCTGTATGACAGAGGTATTCACAATAAACTTCATAATATACTTGGTGTTAAGTGTTAAAATTGATTGAAAAATTATTGGACTAAAGTTCCTATATTTGTTTGTTATTATTAATGTATATCATTATTAAATTTGAAACATTTCCCATACTAACACATTATTGTCATGCACAATATGGATCACAAAAAAAGATCCAATTAACTATAATGATTCTTTTTTTATTTCCATTTGGAACGTTAATCATTCAATGCATAATCAATAAATACATAGATTTAATAAATCTATATCGATATTTTAAGTATCCCACGCATTACACACATCAACCAAATAGGATATAAGCAAACAAGTAAAGAACTTCTAAAGGCAACATACATATAACTAGTATCAGAAGGGGTTTTATAGATATTATATTCATTCTAATGGTTGGGTTTATGAGTCAATCGAAGCCAGACCATCATAGAAAACCTGAAAGTATGGTGTGGGTTACTTATATCCACATAAGTAGTATATAACGGTGGCCAGGCATAGAATGTATTTCAGTAGAAGATCGATGAGGAAAGAACAGGAACGGAACGTAATTGATATGAAATGCATGAACAATGAAACCTAAGACAATGGACTGATATTCGCAAAAGGAACAATCATGTTTGAGACGTTGGATTGATATTTTGCAAATTAACTATTTACTATATGATTCTTAGATTTTAGTGAGATGCTCTGCAATTTCGTGACAAATACATTCGATTGTCCCCACTCGTGTTCTTGTTCACTACAGAAGCACTGGACGGCCATTCCATCCTATCGTGGAACTTCTCAACAGTGCGCAGCCACGATTCCGATTTGCAAGATTCGAATCCAGGACCTATCAGTCTTGCGCGCGAGTGTTTAAACCACTAGACACTATACATATAACTGTTTGTTAGAAAAATAATTAGTCAAACCACATGCTTTAAGCAAAAAAAAGGAAAAGAAAACTGTAGATAAGAATGAAGCATCAAGATAGACAGCAAATAATAGTCAAGCATGATCATAACATTCAAGCGAAATTTCTAACACAAACAACAAGTATGATCAATAGCATAAAGATGAAAAGCATGAAACAATTAAATATATCAAATAGAACAATAAATTGCAATCAGCTGATTGGGATGCATGGAAGCGAAAAACAAAAACACAGCATTAATAGATAATATTACCACAATCAAGTTCCGATTGTAATGGAGCTTCGAACCAGGAATCATCTTTAAGTGTATGTATAGAAGAATTAAAAATATAATGAACAACAAAAAGCTAAAGCAAAAAAAACGGCAAACTTTATTCGTACTCAGTAATGATCATAAGTTAATTAGAAATATTGCTGGCATCTGCTGGGATCACCGGATAAGTAATAGTGAGGTTAGACGCAGGGTATTAGGGAATGATGTTAAATCAGTTGATGAGGTAATGAATCTTCATCGAATGAGATAGATAGGCCACGTGTTACGTATGCCTGAACACCGATTACCACGACGTGCAATGCTATTCGGTATTGGAGATGGTTGGAAGAAAGTTAGGGGCGGCCAAACCAAAACGTGGCATCAGTGCTTGAAGTCACAAACTTCTAGTCTGAGCCATGTAGGGAGATGCAGACTACTTGGCTGGGGTTCGTGTGACTATCGTAACTAATGGTTAGAGACTGTGGGTGACATGGCTCAGAATCGATCACAATGGCATAAGTGTATACACTCTCATCTTCCCTAAAACGATAAGATTAAAATCGCTTCATATTTTTCTTTCTACGAACTAATAATTTCTTCCAGTACTATATCCTTATATGCAATCTTTCTTTTATATATTACCACAACTGAATTAACTACTTTTATGAATCCGGTGTTCATTTTGTTGTGTTAATGAGGTATGGCAACTTGGATCGATGCATGTATTTGCCTGGTCCTACGTTGTAACTAACTGACTGAAATTAGTTATATTAAGTTATCTTGGTTACGTAATTCTGTCTTATATTATAAGATTGGTTGATTTACTAATCTATCTAGTACAAACTAATACATTTATCTCTGAGTTATAATCTAGCTATATGTCTCGTGTTGATACCATTCAGTCTCTCAAATTGAACTACAGGAAGTTGGATTCGAACTAACCAGTTGAGTGTTACTATTTCGCTTTTGACAAATTTGATATAAAAAAATAGTGGGATGAAGAGTACGTCTGGTGTTGTAGTGCTCAGTGTACCTTAATTGATAGTGGCAAAAAAACACGTGAAAAAGGTGGGATTATCAAGATTAATCAATTATTAACTAAACTAACAAATAATATGGGCATTCTATTCCTGATATAATTGAGTTAACTTGATAGAGCTAATCATTTATTCTGTAAAGCAAAAGAATCATGTCAAGAAATGTCAAAGATTCTAGTTTCTATTAACTTCGCCTGGAGCCCCTCATGGTAATCGGTGACCAACAATCGATTAGAACGCCATTAGTTCCTTTAGGATCCTCTAGCCCATGTATACCATTGATTTGGAATCAGGATTTTCCAACTCCCCTAGGTGGACCCTTCATATCTACCAACCCAGTGAAAACACCGGACATTCGCTTTTTATGCTCTCAATTTCGTAAACAACAACCCGTTCTCAGGGATGCAGTGAATAGGACTTTGGTGACAGTAGTTATATGCACGTCGCCATGTAAGAACAGACTCTCCCCACCCTCGGCCGTACTACGGCATTTGGGGGGTGAAATGTCCATTAGAGATGAGGTGTTCAATGATTAAACGAATCACACGAAAGTTAAAACATATTAGTCAATTTTTTAAAATATTTTAGAACTCTTAATTAGGAATATTAGAATCACCTAACTTTATTCAACAGGTAATTTCAATATATCCACGATTTATTCATCAAAGATAGATAGATACCAAACAGGGTACTATTGGAAACTAAAGAATACTAGGAACCTAGTTTTTCCTACTATGAAATTCTTTCAGTAATGAGTAGAGATCAATCAGTCGCAAATATAACCTATGGATGAAAGTAATCTCAGACAAGTTCATCACATACCTTAAACATTAATAGTGTCCATGAGATTTATTTCATCAAGTTATATTACTAATGAGTAATCATTATGTTAACGCTTAGTTTGCTTGCTCATATTCCAATTAGATAAGAAAGCATGATAATTCAACGATGGGATCACAGAAAATAGACACCTTCATTGAACTATCATTTCTTGATAACTATTTAAATGAGAATTTCCTGCTTTCGTATTTTAACAGTTGCTTGAACGCTAGACACTTTGACACTGGATAACAGAATTAGAAGTATCCAATATATCATATTTCTCCATATCTAGTGACTAGATTCGAGTTCTAATGAGAATCAGAGACCAGTGGATCTAATATTTGTCGGTTGTGAGCCAGTTACCCACTGAAGATATCTATAATTAACAGTTTGTTAATGGTTCTATTACACCGAATTTAAACTGGCAGCTTCAAGTGATTTAAAGCCATTATTATACACTACCATATATATCAAGAAGTCACGACAGAAATCTTGAATTTATTCGACTGGGAGTGAAGTGTTCAACTGAATCTGACGACGTTAGTGTGATTTCATAGATAATTAAACCATTACAATCCATCCATGATAGTGTAATTAACTGCTTTGTAATGCTATGATTCTATTGGCCTCTTCATCATGAGTAAGTTCAAAAACATCCTACATTAATATCTTCCACATATATCTGTGTATATAGTGAAGATGCAACAGTTATGAGGTATCCTCATAGCAATTACATTTCGATACCCCCTACATCCTTGTGTTTTAAACTGTTTAATTAGTTTGTAAAATATTGGAACAATGCACTAGATACACTATTTGCTCATCATTCTTGAATTATTCTGAACAAACTAAGTCGTTCTTCCAATCCTGTTGACATTTCTGTTGCCTTCTGTTTTCCTTTCCTTTCTCTTTGTTTTCTTCTTCTTCTTTCAAAAAGAATTCTACTTCATATGCCTGATACATACTATTGATATCTGTCCATATAAGTAGCACACACTGCATATTACTATTAAAATATCACAAAGAAGGTCATACATAAAGTTGCTTAACCTTCTTCAATTTCTATTCAGTAATCAAACGTAACTTTTTGACATATATCCCTATATAAGACTAGAGTAACAAACTGTTCAAACCTAAATTTGACTACTTTATGGTTTATGTGTGATTGAACAGTATTTCCTAGCTCATGGAATTGAGACTAATCAGTTATTTAGCTGTATAAACTTACATTGTGTTAACCAAGTTACATTGATCAGCCTCAAACAAGTCATGGAGTTCGGTGAATATATGCATGAAATCGCATTAGCACAATGAGACATAATTATTTTAAGACAAATTTCTAAGTAGTAAAAGTAGCAACAGTATCGGTAGTAGAAAAGATTAGGTATAAGTAATATGACTATAGAAAAAGAAAGAATAAATCGGGATAGAGTTTTGTTCTCTGAGCTGGATGGTTTAATCGTGGAGTTTCGATCGTTCTTCTGAACAAAAGAGTAAATCCCCTGAATATAAAGTATGAGATAAGTTCAAAACTCAAGATATAAGAAGAGATAAATAATGAATATATCTATGCTATTACGGCATTTTTTTAAAAAAAAACCACCACCACCTACCTTGTGTTCCAAGCATAGTGGCTTTTACAGTAGATAAAATTTTTAATTGGTTCCCAATGGTGAGAATACGATCACTTAGGTGTAAAAGATTCTGAAAACAATAAAAAATAACGATAAAATTAGTATACATTATAATTATTACTTATTTAAACACATAAACGTTGGTACAAGGAGGCACCAAATTGGTATGCATCATATAAATCATTCGATTTGTGTGAGAGCTAGGACAATGCCTGGATACCCAGACCGAAACAGGTGATTTTCTTAAGGGACCACACTCCGAGCCTTTAACTTAAAGGTCTAATTGATAAGGCAGAGGAACAACGTCAAGAGATGCAGTCTCATCGTAGCCAATGACCAATAATTGGTTTATACGCAATTTTTCCTTAAGGATCCTGGAGCCAGAAGTGCATCATTGGTTTGTTATCAAAGTTTTCCAACTCCTCCTAGGTGGATCCACCAACCTGGTTAAAGCATCGAACATTCACTTTTCTTCCTCTCAATTTCGTGAACGACAATAATGCCACGAGAAGGTAGTGAGTAGGACATGCGTGACAGTGGTTGTATGCACATGGTCATGTGAGAGTATTTCTAGAGAAAGAGCTGACTCTCCTTAACCTTAGCCGTACCAAGGAATTCGGGGGTATTGTTCGTTATATTATTGTGGGGTATCAGTCAAAATGAGGAAAGCGATGTATTAAGCTTTTAACCTTCATCATTTTATATCAACAATAAAAATAAAAGATTTGTTATGTTCAAATAGGAATAAGTTGAACTAAATTTGAACTTATGAAATGAAAACATTAAACAAGAGTTTAATAATTCGACTATTGTGTTAATACATTTGAAATTGGTATAATAACTTATAGAGAATGGAGATTCAAGCACTGAAAAGACATTGGATTTACTTCATGTTTTACTGTAGAATTGATGAAGTTTACTTTATTTATGGCATATAAATAGTGGCACAACTAGACACCACAAGTAGTAGTCACTCATGAAACAGGATTATAGTTTTAAACTTCCGAATGAATAGATAACAATAACCAGAAGAATAGGCTTGTTCATGTAATAAGACATTTTAATTGATCTGATATAACTGAAGAGTGAAAATATTATGCGTCATACAAAACAAATTTTTGTCTAGGCTAAGATATTGCTCCAGTGCTGAAGTAGAGCTGGGTGTTATTCTTAAAGGACCAATCGTCAAACATTTAACCTAAATGTATAATCCATATGGTTTCGTGATGTAAACTAATTACAGATTAAAATTTGTTCTCCAAAATATTACACTAAGTACTATTTGAACAGTTGAGATCATAACTCAATTGAAGCTAGACCACCATGGAAAACATGAAAGCACTGTACGAATGTTTCGTCCTATTGTCGCACTCCTCAACAGTGCGTATCCTTGACTCCGCCTGGTCAGATTCGGACCCAGGACCTATCAGTCTCTCGCACGAGTTCTTAACCACTAGATCATTGAGTCGGAATCCAATAGTGTTAATGTCTAACTTCAATTAATCCACGAAATTGAGCGATACATCAACCATTGTCATCAGTGAGTTACTATCTCACAACTGATAACCATTTGAACAGCTAAAAAATATATTAACCATTGAATAGAAGCATTATGTAACGGACTTTGACGTTTTTATTACAGTAACTATTAATAATAATAATGGTAAATTATTGTTAACGTCAACATTTATTGTTTAGTAAAGTAGAAATAGATTTCAACTTGTCTCAATTATTCAAATATGAAAAACAGTCATACAGTGAAGCTTTTAGGGTACTACCACTACTACTACTATTACTACAACTTCTAATAATAATAATGATACGATTTGCACACATGATTACGTAAGCGAAACTCCACCACAAACCAACCGTAACACACTTGATTTGAATAAATGATAGAAGGGAAGAAGTAGGATAGTTTAAAATACAATTACATTAAAATATTCAAGTGAAAAGTTACATAATACAAATGATAATGTAACCTGTTTCAATGTTAAATTTTAGTCAAGAGTAAAACTTATTCATTGGAACTACCAATCATTTTACTATGAAAAAAGATACAGACGGATATATAGATATATGGGGAAAAAATGGCGTATCTAGAAACTATTGGATAAGTTATATTAAGTAAATTATAATTATGTAATCAAGTATGAGCTGATAATGTTTACTTGATTCAAAGGCTAGTGTTACTAGATTAATTATGGTTCATATGGATCAGTTGAAACATGATTTTACTGAATTCAAGAGATACTCCTAGAGTTTTAGTGAGAAGCCGTTACTAGTGGAGTTCAACCGTCTGTTGTGAGATATCAACTCACTGAAGACAATGGTGTACGGTGGCGCAACTTCGTGGATTGGTTGAAGTTAGACATTAACACCGTTGGATGTCGACTTAGTGGTCTAGACTGATAGGTCCTGGGTTCGAATCTCGCGGGGTGCGGGATCGTGGATGCGCACTGCGGAGGAGTTCCACACTAGGACGAAACGACCGTCCAATGCTTCCAGGTTTTCCATGCTGGTCTAGCTTCAATTGACTCATGATTTCGATCAGTGATAATTTAATGTTGAAAAAGTTAGATTTGTTTTAATTACCAGGATATTAGTAGTATTTAATGTGCTTTGATTAAAAGAAATAGAAGAAATTTATTATTTATTTATTTGAACATATAAATGTTAGTACAAAGAGGCATTGAATACATATGCGCCATACACATCACTTGATTAGTGTGTGGGCTATGATACTGTCCAGGTGCTCAAACCGAAGCAGATGGTTTTCTTAGAGGGCCATACTTGAAACCTTCGAACTAAAGGTCTGATCCATAAGGCAGTGGAACGATGTCAGGAGATGTAGTCGAATGGTAGCCAGCGACCAATAGTTGGTTCGTACGTTATTTGTTCCTTCAGTATCCTGGAACCTATGTGCATCATTGGTTTGGAATGAGGGTTTTCTAACTCCCCTAGATGCATCCTCCATATCTACCAACCTGGTTAGAACGTCGGATATTCACTTTTCATCCTCTCAATTTCGTAAACAACAGTAATGCCACGAGAAGGCAGTGAGTAGGACTTGTGTGGCAGTGATTGCATGCATGTGGCCATGTAAGAGCATTTCGAGAGAGAGAGAGAGAGAGCTGACTATCCCTAACCTCGGCTTAGTAGGGGGTGGGAGAGTAGAAAAAAATCATTGTAGTACTACTAATAATATAATAAACACCAGTGAGAGAAGTACGGTAAAACAACCAGAACAATAACAGAGAATGATTACAGAAATGTATTTATTTGTAATAATTTATGTAATAAATATAGAAAGAGGAGGGAGAGAGAGGGGGGGACAGAAAGTATATCGTACTTTTATTAACTAACTAAATTCAGTCTAAATATACATGAACTTTCTTGTTTATAGAATATTTAACAAAATATGCATGATAACAATAACAAACAATAAATCATCTTTAAATGAAGGTACTGACAACATGGAATTTTGTTTATAAACTTCAATAATAATAACAAGAAGAGTATAGCAACTATTCTACAATCAATTTCAATTATGATTAAGCCGTTTTATTAACTTACTTAACAGATAATGTTATTTGAACAGTATTTCTTTATACTATTATGATCATTACCATATTCGTATAAACATGTACTCTGGATCATATGTGACATCCTATTCACATCTCTATCTAGCTTGATTATTGATAGCCTAAATATTGCACGATGAATCATTCTCTACCCCCATGGATGTATGTACTTGAATTCTATTATTAATATTTACCTTTCCTATCTGAGCCTTGATTCGATTTGACTATAAATTTGCCTCTGTATTTGTTTGCATACATATCGTCACCTCTCTGTTTCAAATTTGCTCGATGTGCTTGTAGCTTTGTGATCTGTGCTATCCGCTAATAAACTGTAGTCGCCGCTTCTTACTGCCTGTTGATTCTAAACACTGTCGGGATTTGTATCATAACGGTTATCGAGGTAATTGATTATACAAGAATGTAATTTGAAGTATATATATATATATACCACCGATAGGTATTTGTTTAAAATTTATGCAATGACGTTTAGTTAGACATGAAATGATCATGAATCCATATACATATCAATATATGAATGGAAGTAATAATGTATTCTTCATCAATTAGAGAATTCGGCAAGACTATAATTTATCGACAAACCAACCGGGTATAAGATCATAAGTCTCAGGTTTTGGCGCGAAATTCACCCATCCATTTGGCTAAATAGAGTTTTGACATTATAGCTGATGTCAGTTCGTGATGAAAACCCTAAATGTAATTCCTAACACTAACCATCAACTGTAAATCATAATTCTAATTCCTCATACACTGGTTTATAACCCCTCAATTGGTCCTAGTTACTAGGTCACTTAAGCGTCACTCAAAAGTCGTCTCACCGAGAACTCAGTTGGAACAAGCTTAAATGGTTTAGCTGAGAAGACAATGGGAATTATGTGATGTTCTCGTATTCACATAAATCTGCTTCGGTTTGGGCACCCGAGTAGTATCACAGCCCTCACACATATCAAATGAGATTTGCGTGGCGCATATGTATTTGGTGCCTCCTTGTACCAATGTCTATGTGTTCAAATAAATAATTCACATAAATATTTATTTTATAGTTTGTGTCATAGACTGACGTCAATCGGAAAAAATTGCAAACTAGTAATGTACAACTGTTTCCCCTTTCTATAGAACTTCTTGAACATACACATCCATGACTCCACCAGTGATTTATTCTAGGATATTTAAGTCACCACGATGAGTGCTTAACTTTAATAGCAGAGAGTTGACATCAAAAGGTTCACATGTCTAACTTTATTTACTTCGTGATACCGTAGAATCATCTTTCAATGCCACGAGCGATTAACTTTCCAACATAAGATGTGGTTGAACTTCATTGATCATAGACACGTACCATAGACAGGTCCTAAATAAGGATGAAACAGCTATCCTAAGCTTATTGGATTTTAACGGTTATCTAAGGCTAATCAGTAATGTAGACTGTAAAATTTGGAAAACTTTACAAACCTCCAATATAAATAAACAAACATTATACAATAACAGTCAACAACTTTGTAAAAAAAGAATAACAGTAAACTAATCTACACAACTTACCGAACGTATACGACGATCTGTACATTCTTTAGCTAATACTTTTGCACATCGATTAACATCCAAAGATGCTTCAGCAATAGCCATAGAAACATTAATCAGGTCCTTCTTTGTACCGTATTCACCACTGATTATGTTTTTGATTTTTAATTAAAAGAATACCAAAAAATAGACCAGTAATATCGGAATAAACAAAGTGTATGTTTTCACAATTGATTGATCACTGGGTGGTGCTCAATATCATGGGTGTCAAGTTCGTCTTAGTGCAGATCGAATGCTATCGACCAAGTTGCAATGTGGCCACTAGTCTAAGTGGCTCGACATTGCGTGTATTTGTTGAGATAAAGTGGTTAGATGTAGTCAACAGGAAACCCTGGACCTGGGTCTCGTGGTACTTGGCACTCGTCAACAAGGTGCACCTGCAATCTTTAGGGAGATGGTGCTTCCTGACGGATTCGATCCCGTGTCACCTAGCTACACAACCAGAGACATTACCACTTGGGTATCGGGGGCGCGAACGACCTCCTGTAGGACTAGGATGTAATCACAACTGATTGATCACTGGGTAGTGACCAATGCCATGTGTGTCAAGTCTATGTTTGAATAAAATACTTCGATTATTTAATTATGAAACGAAATATATAGCAAATTAATTAAGAAAGATTTGTTTCCATAGTAAGAATGATGGAAGTCAATTTAAGTAAGAGAGTCAATAAATCGACGAGTTGTACAAGTTACGAAATCCATGGTTTTATATGGTTCAACAAACATTCAAGGGCGAGAATTACTAGATAATTGTTTTGATCCATAATCATTTTAGTGATGCTTATCGACCGCCACGCCAGTGATCGGAATCACGACCTTTGCGTATAATGGTAAGCGCTATATTATGTTTTAGTGGTAGATCAAACACTTGTAACAATGATTATTTAGCTGAATTACAAGATATCAACAATTTGACGACTACATAACTTTTAGTAATAACAGTTTTACTTTCAAGGTTTGTATGACTGAAAAACTCAGGGATTGTTTATAAGTTTACCAACTACTTTAGGAGTTCTAGAAAATTCTGACAAAGATTCAATCAAGTTTTGCTGCAGATTTCATTAAGTTCATTTTGTGAATTACTGAAATCTAATATGAAACTGAATCTAAATGACCCATATAGATTGGAGGACTGACAAACAGCACTTCAACAATAATCAAGAACACGATGGGACACAGACAGGAGTTTGGGAAGAAGTGAAACATGTTACGGAGAAAGCAGAAAACGACTTTTAGACTTTGACAAATAAAAACTTTAAACAACTAATGAAATAACAGCAAAGGTCATTGAAGAAATATAAATTGGAGAAGTGTTACGATAGTTATCGTTACAAGTACAAAATATTATTCATTAAAAAAGAAACTATAATCCCCCTTAGGAGAAGCAAAAAAGAATAATCATTTTTTTATTTGATCACCCAAACTATAAAGATTTAGATCCATCATCTTAGTGAATTTACATTTAACAAAGACAACGATTGAATACAAGGTAGTTGGGAATAATTTTGGTGAAACTATAATTTATGGACGACCTTTGAACGACGTTAAAATGACCTTGAGAATGTCAACCTACTTACTAGAGCTAAATGAGGATTATGAAGCAGTATGAAGAATAAGGATTATGATTTACAATTGATTGAACTGACATCAGTTAAAATGCCAAAACGTTATTTAGCCAGAAGGATGAATGAAATTCGAGCCAAAATTCAAGACGTGTTATCCCAAATCTGATTTGTTTGTTCATAAATTCTAATCTCGCCGTAATTTTTAGATCATATGAGTTATCAGGAACAAATTTTCAACAGAAAAATAGAAGAAACAAGGGAACTAATGACTGAAAAATAATACTAAATGTAGATAGCAGATCTGAAGAGGTTGATTATGAATATAATGGTCATAAGTGCTGTTAGAAGTATGAGGGTGATTATCACTTCCCGGTTACGCACACCATGGAAGGGTTTTTCTAGAGGTACTTGAAAAGGACATTAGGTTAGAGGTGATCTTAGTGACTTGAGAGCGTGACCGCAGTGTCTAAGGGATAACTGCTTGAGGTTAGTCATACACGACCTTTTTGTGAGTAATTTTCGTGCTAGCTCCGTACTTGATGAGACCTTACCGCCGGAGACTGATATTCATGAGATAAGGCGAGGTGTGCATTTTCAGGGTCGACCTTTTCTAACCCCACCACTCCTTGTGGGAAGGCATGATCGCTGTTATGCTGGTTGTCTAAAAGAAGAACCTTACTACCGTCACACCTCTGTACAGTCAGCAGTATGACTTTGCCTTTGGACCTTGGGTTTGCCACTTTTAGTCTTACCGTTCTTCAAGCAACCTGTTTGGCATGGTAGGACCTTGTGGAAAGATTTTTCCAGCCAGTATAGCTATATTGGTTCATCAGTATAGACAAGACCGACACCACGTCACGGTAGCAACAACAGTCGGGACTAAATGTAGATATTACATTTTTTTCACTCCAACTATTCAATTGAATTTACAAAAGAACATCAATCTATATGTATAAAGAATCCATGACAACATGTATACAGATAAACAAACTGAATTGATAAAATTAAAATATTTACCGAACAATTTGACTTAATTGAGCCATTAAAGCAGCCATACGTTTAGTTGCTGCAATTAATTCATTATCTCGACTAGACCACAATCGTGTTTCATGATGTAATGCATGAGCAGCAGCCTAAAATTATAAATCAATAAGGAACTAATAGTTGAATCAATAAGTATACAAAAAAAGAAGTATGATCTACAAAACTGACTTATTCCTGGTTGCTTTTAGACCAGTGGAAAATTCACCAGACTAGTTGCTTTAAATCAAGTGTTTTCACCATAAACAAATTTTCACCTTTAAATATATATATATGGGTGGGATTCGATGATGAGGTATTATAAGTCTACTACTCAACATGAATCTACATAGTAAAGCGAATAGACCAGTTGATGGAGGCATTGGATTACACTTTAGAGATGATAATTTAAGTTATAATCCATAAGTGATGGAAACTAAAGTAGGATTGAATTAAAGAAACATCAATTGTGATCAAACCAAAACATGATACCAGTCTCTGGAATTAATGAATGACAATGTGAAGTAGTAGATTTCTATTGTAAAGTCAATGTATTGAAAGCTAAATAGGATGGTTAAAAATATTTATGATGAAATTATAACACTCACCAATTTTGTTTATTCAAATTAATATTCATATAGAAAATATCAACCGCTGGTTAAAATGTATGTTGGAAATAAATGAACTTCACTTAAACTCTCAATGTGGAAAGCATACAATTAGGTTAGCTGATTTGCTATGATGATCGTGGATGTATACTGTTGAGAAGGCCTACAATAGGAGGAAACCATCGTCCAGTGCTTTCAGGTTTTTCTATGGTGGTCTAGCTTCATGATCTCAATCATTGAAATTACGATGATATCCACAAAAAAGCCCTTCTGATATGAATCATTGATAGACAAATTAGTAATTGTTGTCTCAACTAGACAGTGTAAACATTAATACACCTAAATCCTGGTTAATTATAAGTCACAGAATCAACTTAAATCTGATCAATTATGTTATGTGTGATTGTACTATTGTGGACTACTTTCAAAATACTGTGAAATTTAACTACTTATTTTATTTCAGTAGCTTACTTTATCTATACTGAATCTCAGTATAGGGTTGTGGAGATTATCAAGTTTTTGATTGAGATCATGAACCAATTGATATTAGACCACCATTGAAAACCTGAAAGCACTGGACAGCCGTTTCTTCCTACTGTGTGACTCCTCCGCAATGAGCATCCACGACCTCGCGAGTGGGATTGTTAATAGTGGTCTAACATCAAACGGTTCATGATGACAGTCAAAATACTGAATCTCATTTTAATATGTATCTGTGTAATATCATAAGATCATAGGATCACATATTTACTTGGATGTTGGAATGTATTAGTAAACGTGTGTAAATACAATGTACGCATCTGTTCATTTATACAGATATATGTTCCATCGGCTCATTGTCGATGAACTGAGTAAATTCCATTTCTAGGAATCTATTTAGTTTATATCTGTTATGGAATTCGATAAAACTGAGTTTTCAATGAATTTTAATAATAGAAATATACATTTATTAAAGTAGGTCTACAAATATGACATAATGAGGATATAATCTCTTATATTAAATATGATGATTGCTAGAAAACATGTGATTAATAAGGCTCATTATAAATACATTAATTTATATTACACATATTTAATTAACTATATGAAGCAACAACATAGCAACTAAAATACTCCGTTGTCAACCATAGACTATGAAATACGAACCCAATATAACTTTATTTACATTGGACAATTGTATAGTTTACTGAATTCACAAACAGATAGATAGGTAAACACAAAAAATGTATGATTTAAAGAAGGAAATATAAAGCTATGGGTGATTATGAAGTTGTATTATGCACTTACACGCATTACATTCCACTCGTATTTACGCATTTAGTTTCAAACTTTAAGTATTGATCTTATGAAAAACAATTGCCTTTTAAGCATCTATGCATCCTGTGATACAATTTATTTATTTGAACACATAAATATTAGTACAAAGGGGTACCGAATATAAATGCGCCACACAAATCACTTGATTTGTGTCTGGGCTATGATACTACTCGGGTGCTCAAACCGAATCACATAGTTTTCTTAGGGAGCCACACCCGGAGCTTTCGACCGAAAGATCTGATCCACAAGGTAGAGGAACAACGTCAGGAGATGCAGTCACATGGTAGCCAATGACTAATAATTGGTTCATACGCCATTTGTTCCATCAGGATCCTGGGGCGCATGTCCACCAATGGTTTGGAATGAGGGTTATCCAACTCCCCTGAATGGACTCTCCGTGTCCACTGACCTGGTTAAAGCTCTGGAAATTCGCTTTTCGTCCTCTCAATTTCGTAAACTACAGTAATACCACGAGAAGGCAGGGAGTACGACTTTCCTGGCAGTGGTTGTATGCATGTGGTCATATGAGAACATTTCGAGAGGGAGAGTGAACTGTTCCCACCCTCGGACGTATCAGGGTATATAACCGAAAGGATTATTATGATAATAACGAATAAATTATATAGAAAAGTAACCTTATATCTTAACTGGTCACTGTAAAGTAAAAAGACAATGTAGATGACCTGAAGTAATTGAAAGCAATTACAACTTACCACAGTACTACTCTACCTATAGTATTTTAACTAGCCCAAATTTATAATACAGAATTTGTTGGATAATTTACCCTGGTTGATATTCAATTCATTTGAGAAACTAATCGTTCAAATCTTGGTGAGAACTTATATAAATCATTTTTGACAGGTTTTAAAAAGAAAACAAGACAAATGAACATAAATATAATTCTCACTGACCATAATTGGTTGATTTTCTTCAGGTGGTGGAAAGTTGAATTCTTCATCAACTTCCGTATCAGGTGTACTAGTTCGTGCAGGAACACCAGCTGCTGTTGTTGTAGTAGATACAGCATCATCTAAAGAAATAGTACCAGATTGTTGTTGTCGATCTTCATCTGAAAAATACCATAAACAATGTGTTAGGATAGAACATAAAGAAAGAAATAAACTAAGACAAACAATTTCCAAGAAATGTATTAATATTTGAAAGCCAATGCAATATGCAAACATACAAGAACATACGATATTCACGCATATAACCGATGTGTAGAAGATGGAAAAAACTAAAAGTCTACTATCTCGACTGTAATAATAACAGATAGATAGTATAATCAACATTCTAACAGCATTGACCCCTTATTATTATATACCTCAATACATCCTAATGAAATTCACAAATAATATCCAATTTTTGTATTCGTACTGTAATTAATGGTGCATATGGGCTCCAGGATCCTGAAGGAACAAATAGTATATGAACCAATTATTGGTGACCGGTGACCACGAGGTTGCATCTCCTGACGTTGCTCCACTACCTTGTGGATTAGACCTTTATGTCAAAGGTTCCAGGTACGGCCTTCCTACGAAAACTACCTGTCTCGTTTTGGGCACCCGGGCCGTGTCCCAGCTCTCACAGAAATCGAATGATTTATATAGCGCATATCTATTTGATACTTCCTTGTACCAATGTTTATGCGTTTAAATAAATAAGTAGTTACCATGACAATAGTCATGATAACAGTAATAACGAAGACTTCAAGAAGGATTATTATTATCAAATAATGATATACACATAATCAGTGTAACAGCATTTCACAGGAAAGATAAAAGCAGTGCATGTTTACTTGTTTTTCATATCAGACAAAAAAAAACTAACAGAAATCATCTCAATCTTTTTTAACTGTCATGCAATCAAATGAACAAACACTGGTACTAAAACAAACAAGAGAGAGAGAGAGGAGGAAGAAGAAAGGAAGACTGATAGAAAAGAAAGTAATGATCCTTAAAGTGATTATTGTGCACAAGATCAAGAACATGCGTATCTATCCCAATGATATTCAACAAAAAAATATATACCTGTACATAAATAATCATTATTATGTTTCATTGTTAAATAAGTATTTATGTTTTCAGTTTGATGATGATGATGATGTTTTGAATGGTTATGAGGATGATAGTGATGATTTTGTTGTTGGTAAGGGGGTGATGGTGGTGAATGTAGATTATTATTACTGTTATTATTATCAGTGTAGTAACCAGGTGAGTATGCTTGATGAAGTGGATTGGATTGTTGATATGAATGTGTAGGTGAAGAATAAGGTTGATGATGATGATGATGACTGGTAGTAGTGATATGTTGTTTTTGATGATGTGGCAGTGGTGGTGATGATGGTGAATGATGAAGAGGATTAGATAATTTAATTTCGTACACAGGTTTATGATGATAATGTGATGTATGATAAATGTAATCATTACTATTATTATTGTCAATATATGAATATGGTATATGAGAAACATCTAGAGAATAGCAAAGAAATGAAATGAAAATGGATGGAGAAAAATATAGATACTGTTCACTTTAAAATAAAGTACAACAGACACCGAGATTTAGTATGAAATGTATGATACGTCGATATCATACACCATGAATAGTTTACTATCAAATAATCCCATTATAAAAGGGAAGTAATGAAGTGATACTTGAAATATAAGTCTCTTTATGAATCACTTGTTGCGTTTGCGTTGGTGAGATATCCCATTTGAAAATGAACGACCGAGTATACTGTGTAGCATTTCTCTCTGGTTTACTTAATGCCTATAAAACATGGGCTATAAAAGTATAAGATATTTGTAGGTCACTATTATTTGACACACTGAATACGGAGACAAGGTATACGGGTATCGGGAAAAGATGACGAATCGATTAATAACGTTGTGAAGCTTCAGTGACTGAAGTGCTTAAGACATGCATTACGTAAACTCAACAAGCGTCTACATCAATGCTCTAAACAGTCTGGTGAATGAATAGGTTGGAACAAGTCTAGTAGTGATCAAATCAAAATGTGACATTAGGCCATGAAGTTACTGAGTAGGAAGATGTAGACTATATTCACTCTTTGTCCATGGATAGATCATACAAATAGATAAACTATGCAATAAAAACAATCGTTTATTAAAGAGTCAATCAGTTACAATGTAGGACCAGACACACATATGCATCGTTCCAAGTTGCCACACCTCACTCATTAGCACAACAACATGAACACCAAATTCATGGAAGTAGTTAATTCAATGGTAGTAATACATAAAAGAAAGATTGCAATAAAGATATAGTACAGGAAGAATTAGTTCGAAAAAGAAAGATATGAAGGATTTTAATCTCATAGTTTAAGTGAAGTTAGAGAGTGTACACAACTACGCCATTGTGATCGATGCTGAGTCATATTACACAGTCTCTAACCATTGGAACACAAACTAGGTAGTCTGAATCTACCAGCATGGCTCAGACTAGAAGTTAATGACTTCGAGGACTGATGCCACTCTCTTGATTTGGCCGCCAGTTTATCAAAGAGAATTTGTATTGAATACAGGAAATCCTCAAGGCCAAAGGAAAAGAGGAAGACCAAAGAACACATTACGCCGGGAAATGGAAATAGTCATGAGAAAAACGAACAAGAATGAGATGGAACTAGAAAACAAGACCCATGACAGAGTGAGTTGGAGAATGCTGGTTAGTGGCCTATGCTCCATTAGGAGTAACAGGGGCTTGTCAAAGTATTTGTTGGAAAATTCAATCATTCAATTCAATCATTAATTATATAACAAAAGAAAGAATACGGATCAATAAAAATGATCCAATGAACTACATAACTGTGACTTAGAATATGATCATCAATAAACAAAACAAATAAAATATTCAAGGAAAAAAGATTAGAAGAGAATACTTCAGAGGTACTTACCTGTAATTGATATTTCTTGCATTTCTCGAAGAGGAATTGAAGGTGTTGTCTCTTTAATAGAAGCTTGTGATGATTTAGATGATGAGATACTATTGTTATTATTATTATTGTTATGTATATTATTACAGCTATTACTACTAATACTTGTATTTGTACTGTTAATTCCATTTTTATGTACAGATATTGGACGATAATGTTCATGATAATAATTAATAGGATTATTAAATGATGGACTAACAGCTTGTTTTACTGAATTAACAGCAGTTAATAAATTACGATTTGATAAACGCCATTGATCATGCATATGTGGATCTTCAATATTTGTTACTAAACCTTTAGCATCATTTACCATTGGTGTGATAGCTATTGAAAAAGGGAGAAGTAGAAGTGGTGAGATCAGGCACATATATGTATCGGTCCAAGTTCCCATAGTTCAATAGCACAATATGAACAACACCGGATTCATACAAGCAATTAATTCAATGGTAGTAATGTATAAAAGAAAGACTGCACCTACACCTACGCCATTGTGATCGATTCTCAACCATGTCACACACAGTCTCCAACCATTGATTACGATAGTCACACGGAACCCAACCAAGTAGTCTGTATTTACCAACATGGCTCAGACCAGAAGTTAGTGACTTTTTATTCACTTATAAATCTTCTAACTGAACGCTTGGGTTTGTCTCCTAAATTCTCCTATAACCACAACAACTTGATCACAACAAAAAAGGAGCTAAATGTGGAAAGAACTCTTTACTCCAAGGTTCGTTTATGGACAGAAAATTTCAGGTATTTATAGCATTTCAAACGGCCTTAGGCTTCTGGAAAATTCAAGAACGCTACTAACCACAGTAGATGTGACACGTGACTCTTCACTTTCTAGATGTGTCCGAGATACTGCTATTCAATGCTTTTCGAAGAATTTTCCGGGTTTCCCCAACATTCACTATGGGATATAATTTCAGATCAATATTTTTATATCAGTTAAGTATGAATTTCGTTCAACATGAAAGGCGTGAAATTTCGTTTGGTGTGACAATGATATTTTTTATTATTTTCTGTACAGTTTTACAGGTAACACTGTGTATCTTTTCATTTATATGATGTTTATGAACTAATCTTCAATTATCCATCACTGTATAAACAAGTCTATTCGGTTTGAATGAGGACAAATTATTTTTGATGTGACTTAGAGAGTTAATAGATTTTTATTTTCACCAGTTATTTGTGTTTTCACAATGCGTTGTAGAAATTACAGTATTCCTATTTTTCGAGTCTCTTATTGGCATATGTGCATCCCGTCCAGATTGTCTCTATGATGCCAGTAATTCATGAGCATTTTAGACAGAGATAGATAGTGGTTATCAATAAGGTAGATGACGCCCATTTTGTCCTATTCTGGACTCGTTAGCTGGGTGAACCTACATCCCAGAATTAATGTTTACTCTAGGACATGAAATTCACCTCATTGCATAAGCCAGCTGCTGCCTTGACTCATTAGGTAACTGGATAATGCGATGACGTTTAAAGTGGAAGTTACTGGGTTGAAGTCTGGGAATGAATACCAACTCTGGAATCTAGATACATCCAGCTAACCAGTTCTAAATAGGACGAAACGAGTATCCTAAATTCTACTGCTAGCCACCATCCACCACCCTATTCAGTTGAACAATTCATGAGGATTCAGCAAACATGAAGGCGGTATACTTTATCTCCTTTAAGTCAATAGAATAGTTGCATAATTTAGAACTATGATTTCATCAATAGTGGAAACAACTACTATAAGCTATATGGCTATGTAGAGCTGAAGGTCTCATATGAGGCTAGAGGCATTGTGGATAGTTCGGCACTACTTTGGCAACTTTTGTTGACTGTTTATGCGAAAAATTGGTTTGCTGGTTAACCGATTTCATTCATACTAGTGGTTGCTTTTCAATGTTCTCAAGGGCCATTGTCGTTGGGACATTGTAAGGCATGCCACCATTGCTAACATTAACGAGTTTGACTGTCGTGTAAGCGGAATAGGTCAACTTTGGCCTGTTCGTGATGTGTATAATTGATTCACGCAATCATTGATCGGAATAACTATACATGTGATGTGAATGTGTATATGAATGGTCCACCAGAGTGCTTGGTACCTGTGTGGTTGCGCCACAGGATTGAGCTGTACTATTCTGTTTGTAGGGTTAAAGCCTATACGGTATCTGGTTCCCCTGCTAAACGGGGTCGAGCTGTACTGTTTGAGTTGTCACGTGAAAGTTCGGATGGTGTCTAGTTCTCCTGAAAACCAATGTAAAATTACCCTGGCCAACAAGGGTATATTACATGACTGTGAATAACTGCAAACAACTACTGAATCTAATAGGAAATATAAATAATGCGTTATATCAGTTTAATGTTAAACTTATATGTATATATATTACTACAGAAAGGTTTTATTCCGAAATGACATAACTTGAAAAACAATTATGGTGAGATTTTCATGTTAAAACTAGAAAAATAAAAACAGCCCCATAAAACTACATTACTAATGTTTAGTATATTATTAGTGTGAAATAGGGTGTACATTTTGTCCTTTATTTAGGACTTTTCAAATCGTATATATATATATATATATATATATATATATATATATATATATAGATAGATAGATAGATAGATAGATATCTGTATCCTAGTGTTTATTATATAATGAGACTCGAACCCAATACTTTACTAAATATTATATACATGTATACATATATTCATGATATAATAAATAGTATTGATTATTGTTTTTGTTTTCAATGAATCAGCACAGTACGTGCTAAAAGCAATTAAAAGAACAAGGAAAAGCCACACATGTAACACACACAGATACGAATATATTTATTCATTCAAAGGAAGAGAGAGAAAAAAAATCGGTAGCGAGGTGATTAATTATCACCACTCCGGACATAACGGTAACATTAAGGTACATGAACGTATACAATCACTGGAACAAATTTTATCTTATAATAACAACAAAATGTACAATCTTTAATATACGTTGCAGACATATGCCTGCCTACCTACCTACCTACCTACATACATACATATATATAAACGCACACTCAAACACAGACACTTATTAATGATGTACAAGAAGTGAAATCAGTGAAGAGAGAGAGAGGGAGAGAGTCTAGAAATGTGAAAGGTTTTATTTGTTTGGAAATAAAAGAGGTAAGTAAACCACAACAGGGTTTGGCTGAACAACAATACGGATTTTTTTTCCCTCTTCTTAATATCATAAAATTTCTACTAGATAATATTTTAGTACAATGGATTATAATGTTTTTGGACTTCATTTGGATTATAGTTGCCAGTCAATGTTTACAAGGGTTTCAAAAGCAGATGTAATATAATGTAATTCATTTACCAAAGATGCATTTATGTAACCATATGTGAGTAACATTTTTATGAGTGAGATTAAGTGATGTTACACAAGCTCAGTGACGAAATCTAAGTAGAGTGGGATTCGAATCTGAGGTGGAAATCAAACACCCTAAACAATAAACCGCTGTTGCATACTAAAGTGGAGAAGTTGTTATGAACCAGAAACAGTCAAATGGTTGGAAATAACTAAAGAAACCTACATCTTGAACAAGCATTCTTACAAACTAGTAAACGTTATATAGAAAATAGATAACTGAATTAGCACATATAATAAGCGTACCGCTTCAACCTAATTGTACTTCATGCGATTAATATGCCATCGTCTAAATATAACTAGTAGCCGGAGTGATGTCAAAAAAATGGATCAAAACTTATTAATAATAATGATCTTTGCAACAAAGGAGACAAGTCTTCTGAGGGGATACATTATAATGAATGCATACATTGTATTGAAAAAAATAAGAAATTACTTGAGCAAGTGATACTTAAAAATAGGTGCCAAGCAGGCAGATACACAAAACGTGTTGTCCATTGAACTATAAAGTGTGACACTGGTAATATTAAAGAGATCCTAACAAAACGCACATCAATCACTAAAGATTAATCGAAATTCAGTCTTGAATATAGACAACGAACACGACGAAACCAAAGTCCTCAATTCTAATATCAACCACAATTCAACTATCATTTAGGAATTAACAGTTATTCAATGGTTTTAAATGATTTTGCATTGATAGCGGTTTGTGATAAGAATCGTCTTTCAATGTCTACAAGTATTATTAGGTGAATAATTTACAAGCTTCTTTATGGTTTACGTGAATTGTAAGGAAAATTGACGGCCAATGACTGTTCGGATTCAAAATGATGAACAACTAATCCTTATATCTTATTATCCTAATTTGCAATTATAAAAGTCTTGTTCGAAATACATAACACAAAGAAAAAGAAAAACCATATGTATTATATAACACTTACTTGATCGTAAAGCTTTCACAGCATCGTTCATTCGATCAACATACAACGGATCTTCGCTATTATCTGCTTCTCGTGTGATTAATTGAAGTACACGATTTGCTCGTCGTGCAATACGTGTTGTGGATTCAACTACACCGGTTGTTGATATTGCAGCAATACTATTTTCTGTTTTGGCCGAATCACGTAACATTCCAATCTCTGTAGTATTCAAAGTAGAAAGTGTAATTTAAATCGAAAAGACTCAAGTTGATGCATATTATAAAACAATTGTGGCACAAATGTAAGCTGAAATATTTAAATGTGATCTTAAAAAAACTATGGACGTAGATCAGTTCACAGGATTCAAACAGCGTAGACGTTAGTTATCAATACTTAAGAACAGACTAGTGTAAATATTTCATTTTAGCAGGGTCGAAATGGTAACAGGTAGGGTTTCCGATTCTCGCACTGGTTCATACAAGTGAGTCCGAAAAGAAAGTTTCATCATCTCTAAATTAAAGTTACATCTTGTTTAGAAGTGCTGACAAACAAGACAACTTAATCAACGGTTTCCTGATGATTATGTTCAGTCACCTAGAGTCATAACATCTGTCTCGAGGTTGTAGTGCCGGCAATACTATTTGGGCTCTAAAGATTAAGCAACATGATGTTAAAACTCTGTGGATGACCAGTATAACCCGATGTGTGATGGACAATTTTGCGCGAGTCGACCTTATTTAGTGGTGCCAAATCAATGATACTACAGGGAATTCGGAATTGACGCAGATATTATTTTGAAAGAAAAATAATCTATAAATCGATACGTCACAGATTAGTTTTAGTTAGGGTACCAATCGAAACCAAGGAGCCCTCAACAACAGCTTCATCTTAGAACGAGATTCTTTAGGAGTGCGTACCCATTATCAAGCGTAAACGTAAACAAAGGACCCTCAAATTTTGCGGATTTTTAACCATTAGAACTATTGTGACGAATATAACCTACCAATCAAACTAATTTCAGTAAAAGCCTTTTAACTTAAGAAAAGAAACTATTTAATGGGTACAATCGAATTCTTTAAGAAACCGTTAATTCAGATGCTAACGATGTCAGCTACTTCTATAGGTGACAGGTTATTAAAGCAGATATCTAAAATGCCGTGAATTTTAGTGCATAATCCATGTGACTAATCTACCAGATGGAGGGGAGATTTTCTGTAATTATCTCTGAGAAAAGGTTTGTGTAAGGAATACTGATACACTAGTTACTTATTTTCTCATGGTTGGGAAATTTAACAAAGAAGTTAAAAGTTATTGTGTATATACTATGAAATGCTGCGTGTTAAATGTGAATTGTTTGTCATTCCTTCTATCAATTAAGGGAAAAGTATACTTCATTCTGTTCAACTCTACGGCTTTGAAACGTGGCCATTAGGAGTAGAAGATACTAGTAAGCTACTAGTATTTGACCACAGATGTATTAGAAATATTACTCGCATCTGCTGGGATCATCGCGTAAGTAATAGTGAGGTTAGACACAGACAATTAGAGAATGATGGTAAATCAGTTGATGAGATTGTGAATCATCATCGACTGATATGGTGGGGGTTCACATGTTGCGTATTCCTGAACTCCGATTACCAGGACGCGCAATGCTGCCTACGGTTGGAAGAAAGTTAGAGGCGGCCAAACCAAAACGTCGCATCAGTCCACAAAGTCACTAACTTCTAGTCGGAGTCATGTTGATAGGTGCAGACTACTTGATTGCGGTCCAACAATGGTTGAAGACTGTATGTGACATGGTTCAGAATCGATCACAATGGCGTAGGTTTGTAAACTTGCTGTCTTCCCTTAAACAGTAAAATTAAAATTGCTTTATATCTTTCTTTCTATCAACTAATTTTTCTTCATGCATTATATCCTTATACACAATCTTTCTTTTATACATTACTGCCATTAAAGTAACTACTTCTATGAATTCAGTATTCATTTTGTTGTACTAATGAGGCATGGCTGCTTGGACCGATGCACATATATGCCTAGTCCCACGTTGTGACTGACTGACTGACTGACTGACATAGGAAAGTGTCACATCTTATATGAAATACAATGTAGATATAATAAAAAATAAGTTTTCGGTACGTGTTTTAAGTAGGATATTTATTAGAACTATGATTTGATCAAGCTAAGAATATTTGTTTTTGTTTAGTTACAGAAACATTCAAGTGATGAGAAACCAATAGCACAGAATTAAACTTAAATTTTCATCGTCAATTCCACTCGATCAAGCGATTATCAATCGATACGTATATGTCGTGATTCTGATTACTTTCCCGGTATTTTTTTAAAAATAAAAACTAATTGGAAAGCTAGAAGCACTAAATGGAAGTTTCGTCCTATCATGGGACTCCTCAATAGCACGCATCCACAATCCCGATTGTCATGTGTTCACTAGTGACTAGCTTTATAATGGATTTTCTGGAGTTCTAGTGAAAACCCGTGACCAGTAGAGTTCAACCGTGTCTGCTGTGAGGCAGTTACTCATTGATGACAATGCTAGACGGTCGTAAAATATCATGGATTAGCTGAAGTTATACATTCACATCGTTGGATACCGGTTCAGTGGTCTAGAGATTAAACGTTCGTCCACGAGACTGAAGATGCTCGGCTCGAGACCTGCGTGCAAGATCATGGGTTCACATTGCTGAGGAGTCCCACAATAGGATGAAATGTCTAACATTGATCCATTCATTATATTATTCTAAACTAACAATCGCTACAACCCTATACTGATATACTTATTCTCTAAAAAAATTAAACCACTTTATACATATTAAATAAATATCAAGTATTATAGCATAGATATGTTTACATCAACGAAATGTAAACATGAATAATATGGATCAAACAAATACAATGATCACAACATATACGGATCTATGAAAGTTTATTTTCAAAATAAATAAGATCTATATTAGAATAGTCATTTCACGAAATATGAAGAAGTTGAATCAGTTTAAGTTGCCAAACTACATGAGTACAATGAAATGGAATTACTAAAATAAGAATCACAATATCATAAGCAGTAATATTGTGGAGCGTGCTACTTATATTGATATAAGTAGTATATAACGCAAGTCAGGAATGTAATGTCTAGCCGCAGAAGATGGGGAAGATCAAGAAAGGAAGAGCGGGAATAGAAACCAACTAGTATGGAAATGCAAGAACAACGAAATTCGAGACAATTATTGAACATTTTGCGAATTAAGTATTATAGTATGGTTTTTCTATTTTACCAAATAACTCTGTCATGTTTTGCTAAATATAATTCGGTTTTGCTCATCTGTGTTCTCCTTCACTACAGTGTTACTGATAGTAATAGAGAAATAAATGATGAGATATAGGCATAATGTGACTAAAGAAGAAACTGATTTAGTGAATAGAAAACAAGATAACATTTGAGCACAAGGTCGAAACTTATGACTAATTCTAAGTTATATCACTTAACATTGGTCATGATAGTTACTTGGAATCAAATCAGGTAAATGTGATGCTTCCCAGCATGTTTCAGATAAAAAAAATCAACAGTGTCATAATTTGGACACCCATAGCTTTCCTCCAACTTGTTCTCTTATCCTGCATCAAAGTAAGTAGTAGTTAAGCATAGGATGAAACGCGTGTCCTGGATTCCACTGCTAGCCATTATCCAGCTTTGCATATAATGTTTGTGAATTCAGGCAATACGCACAGTATGCACGTATACCAATAAGATACTGATCAATGACAGTCAAGTGAATTCAAACTTCAGCCCATTACACAAGCAAGTGGCTATCAGGACTCAATAACTAACGTCATGGAGTTTGAAGCGAATGCTACTGAGTTCGAGCTCCATAGTGAACATCAACTCTGAGATGCAGGTACATTGAGCTGACGAGTCCCAAATAGGACGAAACACGCTTTATGCTGGATTCCATTGCTAATCACTATTCATCATTGCATAGTAATAAGGCATATGTTTGTATATATCTTAACTATCTCAGTCAATAATGAAGATATACAATCATATCAACCTATTTGCCATTTATCTTAAAACTTGATGTTTTATCTCAGCATTACCTTTAATCGATAACAAAAATAACGTGCAATAAATAATACAAAATAATTGACAAAGAAAAAAATAAAAGAAATTTCGATAAGGACACAGATTACTTGAACACACCTTATATATACTAAATAATCCACAACCTTATATTGTAATTGATAAACAAACTATATAATCAGGTCATAAGTTCATATTATATATCTGGTTAAATGATGAGATAATAAGGTTTATAAAACAAAACACTTTGTTTATAAGTAATATAAGTAATATCTTATAAATTGAAAATGTATTTTTCTAAAAACTAACTATGAAAACTACCATTCATTTAACCTTTTTCTCGTAAGGAGAGATCATGGATGCACATTGCTGAGGAGTCCCACAATAGGTAGCCAAACCAAAAAGTGGCATCAGTCCTTCAAGTTGATAACTTCTAGTCTGAGCCATATTAGTAGAAGCAGGCTACTTGGTTGGGGTCTGCGTGATTATCGTAACCAATAGATGGAGACTCTGGGTGACATGGCTGAGAATCGATCACAATGGTGAAGGTGTATACATTCTCTGTCTTCCCATAAATCGTGGGATTGAAATGACTTTATACCTAACTTTCTACGAACTAATTCCTTCTTCCTGAATTATATCCTTACACACAATCTTTTATATATTATTACCATTACAGTACCTGCTTCTATGAATCCAGTGTTCATCTTGTTGTGCTAATGAGGTATGGCAAGTTGAACCGATGTAAATATGTATCTGGTCCTACGTTGTAGCTGACTGACCACACAATAGGACGAAACGACCGTTCAATGCTTTCAGGTTTTCTATAGTGGTCTATCTTCAATTGATTCGTGACCTCAACCATGGAAATTTTCTTAATCTGTTGAGTTTTGTAAATGTACATCCAATCGAGTGAAAAAGCATATCTACAATGTTACTTAGTCGGTTAGTCAGAATCAACATAGGATCTAACCAAAGCTATCATATTATATCAGCCTGATGAGATCAAATGATCAAAATGATGATGAGAAAATAGTTCAGAAAGACAGAATGATAAGGTATGCATGAATGAAAAGTGTAATTTAAAATACAACGAAAGATCAACAGTGACTAATTTCACTCCACTATTAGTGGTTTCGAACCATATCATTGAACACCGCCAACCACTGATCATGGTTCTCAAGCAGAACCTAATTGTAGTTTTAATAACTGATAATACATTTTTTTACTTAGTCAAATTGTTGCCATCACTAATTCCAATCGTTAATAATAAAGTGATTCACTTATTAGGTTGAGGTTTGTGTACTTAACTTAAGGTCACAAAATTTTTTGTGAAACCCTTGGTGGATATACACTAGGTTACAAAAGCTGAAGTGATTACAAGTAAGATTGACATTGTAAAGCATGAGATGAACTGGATTACCAATGAAGTGACTCATAATTATTCGTTTATTATTCATTGCAAACTAGGTGTGAGTAACAGAAGAACAAATGAAAAATATAGAACAGTAAATAGTTGGTTTATACCAGTTTGGTACCTCTAAAACGGCATTTTAAACTTTAATATAAGAGAAGTATTCAAGTGGTGACATTATTTCAAATCGATATTACTGTGGGGAAAATCATTTCAAATGAATAATATTCAATAATAGGTCTTTATAATATACCTTGTACAAACTGTTTCTCAAAACTAGCTATTTTATATAGAATAAGAATATTAGGCGGGTAAAGGTAGTCGGGATGCGACTATAACATTTCAACATGGTGAACGCAGTGTCGAGTTACTCAAATCAATGGTTATATTGTAGCTTAATAGACGGAAATCGATCTGCACTAAAGGGCTATGCAAACGTAATGCTAGCCACTACTCAATGATTGATTAACTACAAAATATGAGCAATAAATAATGTCATTTTAAGGCTTGTATTGACGATTGGAAAATATCTTTTACTAACAACGAGACTATAAGTTACGAGTGAATCAATCAGATCTAAGATAACATCTCTTGGACATTTTTGCCGACCTTATTCAGCCATGTGACAGAGCATTTTTGCATTATAACTGATCTGAGTTTGTAATGAAAACCCTTAATCCAAATATCAAAAACTAATTTTGAACCAATTCCTAATCCTCATTACTAAACCTATTTTGAACATAATTACTGACTGAAATTACTCAAGGTCACATTTAGAAACGCTTAGGGTCGTTCACAGATTATGGTCTCGTTTGACGATGTTTATGGTTATAGTAATGATCGTGCACTATTTTATTTATTTGTTTAAACACATAAACATTGGTACAAGGAGGCACCAAATACATATGCACCACATAAATCATTCGATTTGTGTGAGGGTTGGGATACTACCCGGATGCCCAGACTGAAGCAGGTGGTTCTCTTAGGGAGCCACACCCGAGCCTTGAACCTAAAGGTCTGATCCACAAGGCAACGAAGCATCGTGGGGAGATGCGGTCCCATGGTAGCCGGTGACCAACGATTTATTCATTCTTTCCCGCAGGATTCTGGAGCCCGTGATCGTGCACTATTATTGTGAAAACAAATTGCAATAATGAATGAGGGATAACGAATGAAGTCAGATATTTTCATTATATTTGATATATGGATATGAACATTTCATAAATTTCAGTTTAGTTCATGTCAAAATCGGCTGTTATGGACAAAGCTAGGTTATTTAGTTTCTATTTAAATGAGGAATAATTAATACAACTTTTAACTAAAAACAGATTTATTACGTTATAATGGTTGGTGGCAGTAACTAGTAAAATAGATCTGGCGACCTCCAGGCAATATATCTCATGAAAAGTGATTGCTAATATAAGAAATCGAAATAAAATGACATAATAACAGCTTAGTACCATTGACAGATAGTCGAAAACAAGTGGTAAGAAACTCTAGATCTGATTTTGTACGGATTAGGACATAATAGAATGTGTACATGTGATCATGATGAAACTGGCACTACTTAAGAGATTCGCATCTACATACACTAGTGTTAAATAAAGATACCTTGTGATTCATTGAGGCACTGCACTAGTGAATGAGAAGAATATAAAATTTGACAGCACTTTAAACTTGAACTCCGTCTATGCTCCTCCATGAAGGGTAACAGGCGTAAGTAATTAGGTTAAACTTGGACTAACACTGATGAAATAAAAAATATATCTGATGCCAAAACATTAGGAACGAGTAAATACACGCACTTACATGACGCAATATGAACCCTCTCTGATTTCACTATTGTCAAAGTTATAACTTAGTCAGTCAGCTACAACGTAGGACGAGGCACACACATATGCATCGTTCCAAGTTGCCACAACTCACTCATTAGCACAACAACCTGAACACCAAATTCATGGAAGTAGTTAATTCAATGGTAGTAATATATAAAAGAAAGATTGTGTATAAGGATATAGTACAGGAAGAAAGAATTAGTTCGTAAAAAGAAAGATATGAATGATTTTATTCTCATGGTTTAAGTAAAGATAGAGAGTGTATACAACTACGCCATTGTGAAAGATTCTGAGTCATGTCACACAGTCTCCAACCAGTTACGATATTCACACGGAACCAAACCAAGTAGTCTGCATCTCCCAACATGGTTCAGACTAGAATTTAGTGACTTCAAGCACTGATGTCACGTTTTCGTTTGGCCGCCTCTAACTTTCTTCCCACCGTCTCTTACACTAGTCAGCAGTGCGTGTCGTGGTAATCGGTGTTCAGGGATACGTGACACGTGACCCAACCATCTCAGTCGATGAAGATTTACAACCTCATCAACTGATTTACCATCATTCCCTAGTACCTTGCATCCAACCTCACTACTACTTACCCGGTGATCACGGGTATAGCAAATTAAATAAATGCATCATTGTGTATTAGATCACAGTTATTTAACATACAACTTATAACAACTGGATTTTAGCACATAAGTAATGATTAATTCATGAAACAATAAGTAATCAATTGTTCTGAATTACAAAGTCCAAAGAACATTCGATATGTATAAGTGCAACTTACCTTGAGCAGCTATGAATGCATTAGCATCAACAGCTTCATCAACTAATGCCCTCATACGTTCAGCAGTATCTGTCCAATGTTGACGCATCATAAGAAAATGATCTGACGTGGCTTGTTTCAAACTAGCTCCACCAGGTTGTAATTGTAAATTTGGATCAGCTGATAGGATAACTGCACGACCAGCTAATACAACTTGTGCACCTAATTCATTAAGTTGACTAGTTAAACAACGTAATGCATCAGAACGCCATACATCGGATAATTTTGTAGCTGCAGCTAATTCTCCAGTATTGACAAGTTGATTACATTGCGTCTAATACAAATTAATACAATTTATAAGTGAATATATTCTTAGATCAAGAAGTTATGTTATAAGAAAATTAAATATACGGAATTACAAAATTACAGTTTTTGTTGTTGTGGTGGTCTAGCTTCAATTGGCTCATGATCGCAACTGTTTAAATTACTACAATCTCCACAAAACCCCTTCTGATACTAATCAACATATGCTCACCGGTGACTGGCTTCAAGATATATATCCTGGAGTTCTAGTGAGAAGCACTGACCAATCGAGTACAACGAGGCAACAAATACATATGGGTCATACAATAATAATAAGGTTGTGAAGAGATAGAGAACGTGAGGTGAGTATAATAAGAGGAACAATAAAAAACAGAAATTAATGTATCAGAGTGAAATAATAATGGGAGAGACAGTTCAGTTAACAAAAATACAACCAGAAAGAATTACTTCAGTTAAAGAAGCTACGTTTACTTTTATGTAGAAAGTAAAAGCAAGTTACAGCAGGATCGACATTGGCTTCTATTCTAAGCCATATCCGATAACGTCTCTAGCCACTTTGTTGCACCATTACTAGGATCCCAAGCAGGCAGTCCTGAAGGACTAACAGAAGCAAGTCCTATACAGCTTCCTTTCATACCACGACACTGTCATACACTGACCACCTCCGCTTTTTCCAACCGGTCCCAGAGTCGACAAATAATAGACAACGTGGAATTCTTTGAGACGACATTCTTAAGATATATCTAAGCCACCGAAGTCAGTGTTTCAAGATAGTGACACTAATTAAATAATCGTCGCTGTTCTCGAACACACAATGCCGAACCTCTGCATTACTAACATGATGTTGCCACTGGATGTCGGAAATCCATCGGAGACAACGATGATCAAATAGAGAGTCGTCTAACATCCTCAACTCGGAGAGGCCAGGTTTCACAAGCATAGGGCAAAACTGCTCTCAGCAACGTGTTGTAGATCTGACCTTAATGCGGCACCAACACCAACAAAACCAGACGGTGCCACGAGGTGCTCGGGTATACGAACGTAAAACAAGCTCCACGAAGCTTGAGTTGATACTTAACCTTCTGTATTCAAACATCGAATGAAGTGTAAAACGGAAACATGAGATACAATTTATCAACAAAATACAATAGTTTTAAAGTATTAAGATTTTAATTGGTGACTCAGTGGTTAAGATGTTTAATGTTCAATAACTTAGTCGTCAGTTTCAACCATGATGCACCTACTTCAATATGAGCACCTGACTAGTATCACTAGCCCACATAAGCAGAGTACAGTTCAAAACTAAGTACACGAATATGTACTTGATAAGGGAGTCAAGAAAACCTCCCGCTTGAAAAAAACACAACTAATTAGACGCATCACTAACTGTCACACTGCGTGTCTGGATCATGAGTACAATAAACCAATAGTTCATAAGTAATTTATGCTTAATCATTTATCTAGTTGGTTTATTTATATAAGGTGTATTTAAATAACAACCGATAGCTTTAAAGTTCTAGAAGGTTTCCGTTAATATAATTAATTTTAGTAACAATTAAAATTGACAAATAAAAGAACTAGATGATGTTTCGCAAGAATTAAATTCAGGCATTACTTCAAAACTCCAGACAATATTGATGTATCAACTAACAATCAATTACAACAGGAGAACCTGAATATTTATTTCACTTTACCGAAACTATCATTCAATTTATTCATTAGAAGAGATACTTCATGATGACAATAATTTTCACTAGTTTATTTTTATTATTTATTTAAACACATAAATAATGATACAAAGGGGCATCAAATACATATACGCCACAAGAAAACAAGAAACAAGAAGGCACCAAATACATATGCGCCACACAAATCTTATTCGATATGTGCGAGGGCTGTGATACTGCCCCCCGGGTGCCCAAACCGAAGCAGGTGGTTTTCTTAGGGGGCCACTCCCCGAGCCTTTGACTTAGAGGTCTTACCCACAAGGCAGTGGAGCATCGTAAGGAGATGCAGTCCCATGGTAGCCGGTGACCAACGATTGGTTCATACGCCATTTGTTCCTTCAAAATACTGGAGACCATGTGCACCATTGGTTTAGAACCGGGGTTTTCCAACTCCCCTAAGTGAACTCTCAATGTTCACCAACCCGGTTAAAGCGCCAAATGCTCGCTTCTCGCCCTCTCAACTTTGTAAACAACACGCCTGCCACGAGAAGGCAGTGAGTAAGACTTCCCTGGCAGAGGCTATATACGCGTGGCCATGTGAGAGCATTTCGAGAGGGAGAGCGGACTTTCCCCACTCTCGGCCGTACCAGGGCATTTGGGGGCAAGTCACAAGTCACTTGATTTGTATATAAGCTGTGATACTGTCCGGATGCCCAAATCGAAGCAGATGGTTTTCTTAGGGGGCAACACCCCAAGCCTTCCACCCAAAGGTCTGATCCACAAGGTAGTAGGGAAGTTTAACGAGATACAGTCCCATGGTAGCCGGTCATCAATAATTGGTTCATATGCTATTTGTTTCATCAGGATACTGGAGCCCATGTGGACCATTGGTCTAAAATCAAGGTTTTCCAACTCCTCTAGGTGGATCTTCCATATCTACAGACCCGGTTCATATGCTAGATATTCGCTTTTCGTCCTCTCAATTTCGTAAACAACAGTAATGCTATGAGAAAGCAGTGAGTAGGACTTCCCTAGCAGTGGCTATATACGCATGGCCATGTGAGAGTAATTTGAGAGGGAGAACTGACTCTCCCCACACTCGGCCATACCACGGAATTTGGAGGTATTTTTAGCTGATTTTATTTGCATATCTAAGCTCTGGTAATTATATTTGCTTATACAATTAAAGTAGCCATTATCTAGAACTTATTCTATCAATAATAATCATTTTTATATATATAATTCGTACAAATTCTTTTCCATCTATTACCTCTAATACATCTATACAGTAATATAATCATCTATCATTAGTAGTTGAAAAATTATTGGTAAACACATTAAACCTATTCTTACATTTGTTTACCTTAAAATACTTTTGAATGTCAATTAAGAACAAGAGAAATCTGTTATGATCAGTCAAGAAGATCATGATGATGACGACGATGATGATCATGATGATGATGGAAGATGTAGTAATGATAAAAGAAGAAGATAAACACAACAACTTATTCATCACTTGATTTACCTATAACTATAAATTATCACTAAACATATACATCTAAAGTAAACAATTGAAACTAACTTATATAGACAAATAAACAAACTAGAAATAAAATAGAATACAAAATGATTATTTGCAAGAAACTAATCTTATTTCTTCCAAATTCTAGATTATATTATCAATTAGTAAGAGGTATTAAGTAGAAACACAAAAGAAACACAACAATAACTGAAGTTATCGTAATGATTCAATGAATCATAGAGAGATCATCAGTACTTCAAGAAGAAGATATGGCATATGTCTTGATCAAATGAATGAATATATATATGTTACCATAGTAATGTGAATTGGATAAAGATCATGAGTCAATTGAAGCTAGACCATCATGGAAAACCTGACAGCATTGGACGACTGTTGTGGGATTGCTCAACAGTGCGCATCCGCGATCTCGCCTCACGAGATTCGAACTCAGGACCTATCAGTCTTGCATGCGAGCGCTTTAATACTAGGCCACTGAGCCAGTCGGCATCCAATGAAGTTAATGTCTAACTTCAAGATTTATTGAATAAGATATGTAGATAGAGAATACTATTCAAAATTGTGATATGATTATTGAAATATTATATTTGATATTTGACTAGTAGTGAACTACAAAAAAGCGTTCTTCGTCCTGTTACGGTCTTTTCAGATGGATAATTTGGTTCGATACCTTACAGTCCAATCAACAACACATCCACTTAGGTATTGTGACTAAATGTCATGTCGGAGTAATCCGCTAAGGATGCAAATATGATAATGGAGAGTAATCAATAGTAGTCCTAAATATCCACATTGGGAAATCACAAACTTTTACTAGTCAATTATTAACAGTTAAATGATTAAATTACTAGACCACAAATAATAGAAGAAGCTAATTGTTGGGGATAATAGATCCCCAAAACTCATATTTTATAATTTTATCTTATCGATTAACTTATCGATTAAATGTTTAAATATTTGAATGGGGGTCAATTGATGAACTTATCGATTAAATGTGCAAATAGGTCAATTGATGAAGTATCGATTGAATGTTTAAATAGCAGTCAATTGACGAACTTATTGATTAATTTTTAAAAACATTTTACTATGACAATATCGATTATAAATATTTGTATAAATACGCTTGATTTGTTATCTGCTGTTTGTCGGTAGAATACACTTTCTACACCTTACCAAGACTTCTTAGTCGAGTTAGCAGAGTTGGGGACAACGGACCAGGATAGCTATCGAGTCTCTGTATCATTGATCCTTCGTTCCATTCGAGTAAGACGAATCAGTAGTAGCAGTCAAGTTAACGAACCATAACACTAATGTTCACGATCCATCCCCATTTATATTATGAATTCAAGATATATTTCAAATAACCTTCAATCATACAGATTGTTGTATCCTGGTTTTTATGTTTTAGTCAAAATGAATGAATAAAAAATATATATCATGAATAACTTCAGGATATTAAACTTAGCGTTAGTCATAATTTGTATTCGAGTTTCAAGATAATGAAGTTACTTGATTTGTATGTAGGCTGTGATACTATTCGCGTGCCCAGACTGAAGCAGGTGGTTTTCTCAGGGGGCCACAACCGGAGCCTTCGACCTAACGGTCTGATCCATAAGGCAGTGGAGTAACATCGAGAGATGCAGTCCCACGGCAGTCGATCACCAATAATTGGTTCATACTCAATTTGTCCCCTCAAGATAGCGGAGCCCATGTGCACGATTGGTTTGGAAACAGTGTTTTCCAACCCCCCCTAAGTTGATCTTCCATGTCCACTAACTCGGTTGAAGCGCCGGATATTCGTGTATTTAAACCAAATTTGATGAACAGGATTTTGAATCTATAACATATCCTGTTTAAAGTTGAATACTTCATAACTAGTAAATTATCGGCTTCATACAATTAGTATGTGTAATTCATAGTTTGTAGATTTAATTTACACTTACTAGAAATTCTTTCATTTTCACATTGTAATCATTTTGATCTGGTAAATTACCAGATGATGGAGATGCAGATTCTACTAATTGACGTAATGGTCCAACAAGATCTGTGTAGACTTCAGCAATTTGTCTTGTTAATAATTTCTCTAATGTTTGCCATATATACGCCAAACTACGACTCATAGCCATTGCTAAATCTTGTTGACTGATTTCATTTTCTGCCGCTGATAATTTTATACAGAAAGAAAAACAAACAAACAAACATAAAAATTGCTTAATGAGGCAATCAAATCAAAGTATTGTAAGATAGAGAGAAAAGGCTGTGACATCCAACTAGTTGTAAAACAAACTAACCGTTCATTGGTTGAAATACTAAACTTACAACTAAGGAGTCCATAGTTCTCGTCATGAACTGACATCATATGAAGCAACAACAGAAAGTTGGTATTCATTTATAACTAAAGAATAACTGAATAGTTATCAATGTCATGTATGTCTAATCCTAAATCCTGATAAAGTCCTATCGATCAAATTCAAATGTGACCACCGATCTATGCATCATCATCACATCCATGATGCTGGGATGTTCTAAGGTTGGCAGGAAGTGCACCTGTTATCTTGGAGGAACTGATTCAAAGCGCGGGATTCGAACACGAGTAACAGAGACAAGTAACCATGCTGAAACTTCATTGATAGAATTCCATGAGCACCAAGGACTAGACAAACATGACATTTGTCACTGATTCGTGATCAATCGGCTGCAAATATGTCAGTCCTACGTGAAGTTAGTTGCTGCCTGAAACGTTTAGTGGTCAAGTCTCAGATTGTGGAGCTGGGTGGTGTTTGGTTAGATCCTACTGAGAACATCAGATTCCTTAAGATTTTACACAACTAGCAAGAAAATTAGATCTAAAGTATCCTGCTGATTATATACAATCAATTGTAAGCTAAACTATCGTTCAATAGTTGAAATATAGAATTTCCATCCAACAGGAATCGACATCACATTCGGATAATCAATGAGGAGTATCAGATCATATGGTAAACTATTTTGTTCTAACTTGAGACCTATATTCAATGAAGTTTATCATTGGATTTATACATTTAAAATTAAACGTCATATACATATACTGACTGAAACCATGTATCAACAATAATGCCACTCCGAACACCAACATGTTCCGCGAAGAATATATGTTCAAATGGTTTTTTCAGCTTCCTTTTTTCTTGTATATCGTAAGTGAACATCAAAATAATCACTGACGATCGAATAACGCGTGTAAATAGTGATTCAATAATCTAAATACATTTATTTATTTAACTGAACACATAAATATTGGTACAAAGAGACACTGAATACAGGTCACTTTATTTGTATGTGGGCTGTGATAATACTGCCCAGGTGCCCAAACCGAAACAGGTGGTTTTCTTAGGGGACCACACCCGGAGCCTTCAACCTAAAGGTCTGATCCACAATGTAGTGGAGCAACACAAGGAGATGTAGTCACGTGTTAGCCGACGACCAACTATTGTTTCATACACCATTTCATCCTTCAGGATCCTGGAGCCGATGTTCACTATTGGTCTGGAATGATGGTTTTCCAAATCTCATAGGTGGACCCTACACGTGTTCATTAATCCGTTTAAAGCGCCAGGTATTCGCTTTTAGTCCTCTCAATTTCGTAAACAACAATAATGCCACGAGAAAGCAATGAGTAGGACTTCCTCGACAGTGGCTATATACTCATGACCATTTCGAGAGAGAGAGAGAGAGCTATCTCTTCCCACCCTCAAGCCATATCAGGGCATATTTAAGGGCTAAATAGAGATATAAGCAAATTAAAATGTTAATGAAGGAGTATCATTGTTATTTTATACACTATCAATAAATCAACATGAACAAATAAAGAGTTATTTTCAATACCAAAAGGTACTTTTGATCTCTTATTTAGTTCTTAGGAAAATGTAAACTATTTAGATTGATCATGTGATCATAACATTTACATAGTGATTAATTAGATCAACTGTTTCATGGTATTTACCATATGAATAATACCCACGTACATATTTTCTTCTTACCAAATTTGGCTAATTAATAATGCCATTCATTTTTCACATGATTTTAATTTGTTTGAGATCATGAATTGATTGATGTTAGATCATCATTTAAAATAATTTGTACATTCATGATCTTAATTACGGTATTCGAACTTAGAAACCTTTGATCTTGTAAACAAATAGTTAAACTCCAGAAAACTGAGTTGGCATCTAACGGTATTCATGTTTGACTTTAATCAATGGTGATCTAATATCGATCGATTTATGATTTCAATCAAAAACTTAACAATCTCCATAACCCTATATTGATATTTAATTTGTGTTTATTAGATGGTATCTCGATCATACCAATTAAGTCATTTGCATATGTCTGTATCAAGTGAGAACTTCAATGACTCTTGATGTACATGTTTATTTTTGATTTCCTGGTGATGTTGACAAAAATAGCACAGTTCTGGAGTAAGAGACATACATTTTGTTACTTATTTAAAAAGTATATATTCGTGTACTCGGTTTTCGGTTACACTTTTCGTAGGATAGTTAAGAGATGATACATGGCTGCCCGAAGCGAAAATGGAGGAGTAGAACACGAGCTTGCGACTTAGTAGTTTAATGTCGAATAACTGCACCACTATCATACTCCTATACAAAAAACATATACCTAATATAACTGAGATTATTCAAAATATTCAAATTCACTGTATTTACTTTGCATGCTGAAAACAAGTGTGGAACTTGTATATGATCAATATTTTGTACATTCGATTAACATATATAGAAAAGAGCGAAATAATAGTAATGGTGCTTACTTAATGGTTGAGAAGATATTGCAAAAAGTTTGTCAGAAACTCTCTCAACATGTTCACATGATTCTAAACAAGCATCATTGGTCCCCTTGTCTTCAGACGGACTACTGTTAGCATTTATTTTATTGTTATTGACAGAAACATCATTACTATCAGATGACATTATAATACTTCTTGCACCTTGAGCTAATGAACGACATGCTTCTAAGCCAACATGACGTAATGGACCACGAGGATCAGCTAGCCAACGTTGAGCCTGAACTAGTTTACCTTCAAGTGTTCTAGCCAAACGAAATAATGGATTACATGTGTGATGCTGTTGATCACCAACGCCGCCACCATTATGATCACGTAATGATAAATCTTTACATAATCTAGATAATTGATTTAATTTTGTACTAAGTGTATTGGCAATATGACTTGCTTCTGATCCATTACCCTGAAATAAAAATACGTATATTGAACATTGGTGAATAAATAACTATCATCTGTACGATTGATTAGAAAAACGGAACCAAAGAATTATAAACCAGTTACTTTAAAAATTCATGTAAGAAGCATATTAGCGGCCGTTTACATTGATCCTACACATCCAATAAAATAAATTCTGTTAAGCTAAAGCTAAACGGGAAAGGATTTAAGTCAATGCATAGTTAGATGTGTACAATTTTGCATAGAAATAGAAGAGAATGAATATATTTTTTATTAGTAATAGCTGGATTTTGACGTCATTTAGAAAGTCAAAGTTACCAACCAAAGATTGAGGGGTCTCCAGGACTTCAGCCAAGATCAGCACTACAGTGGGTGATGTTTTGTTATTTGAAACGTACGGTACAGGATTTGATTCTTGGTACAATTATTAATATGGTATTAGTGTATTCAACCGAAAAGAACCATATAGGACAAAACATGTTTTCTGGACACCCTGCTATACAATGTCTAACTTTATTAAAAACTCCAGTCAAGATGTGTAAACAGTTCCTCAGACGTCACAAACCTATGGAACTCTATGAGATTAATGAACCTCTCCGATGTATTTATTGCACGAAGTTTACCTGTATTGTATGTTATACGGTAAATGTGTAAGATATGAGTGATGTAAATCAATTCTGAAATCAAACAACGTTAACCGAAGTTAGCGTATGTATAGGGATAGATATATAACTCAGTTGATCAAACAAAATATAGATGAAGTGGTTTTACAAAGAATGAGCAAACATTTGAATTATCGAGTTGCACATGATATAATTCCTGGTCAACATGCAATGAACACCTTATCGATAAAACAAACATGTATATGTCCAATAAGCAAATTCCTTTGAAATGTGTAATCATCAGAATGATAAGTTAGACTACTACACGCTATATGTGACAAGCGTTGAGGACATACGTATGAGTTATATCAATCAAAACTGTAGGTACGAATAGGTAACCTAACCATGATTTTATATTTACAGTGAAATGTGTATGTGAATACAACCCTACAACAAATCAGATACCATAAAATTTTAATAAAATCACATTTGATCAGTAGCTTACAAGTCAAAACCAAGAACAGTATTTTCAATATAAATGTCAAGACAGTTCTACTGCATGGGGCGGAAACCTGGAGAACTACGAAAGCCATCATCCAGAATATACAGGTGTTTATTAACAGTTGCCTACGCAGAATACTTCAGATCCATTGGTCAGACACCATCAGCAACAACCTACTGTTGGAGAGAACAAACCAGATCCCAGCAGAGGAAGAAATCAGGAAGAAGCACTGGAAGTGGATAGGACACATATTGAGGAAAACACCCAACTGCGTCACAAGACAAGCCCTCACTTGGAATCTTCAAGGTCAAAGGAAAAGAGGAAGACCAAAGAACACATAACATCGAGAAATAGAGGCAGACATGAGAAGAATAAACAAAAATTGGATAGAACTAAAAAGAAAGGCGGAGGACAGAGTGGGTTGGAGAATGCTGGTCGGCGGCCTATGCTCCATTGGGAGTCAAAACAAAAATCTGCTTACTCCACGCTTATTAGATTGTTAAAAAGATTGTAAAACAAACACATCAATTTATTAATACCCAAAATAGATAATGAATCAATCCATTCGATTATAGTTTTATTTCCCTAAAGGAAATAGTAAATCAAATTAAGAATACAATTGATAAAGTACCAACGATTTGTTCATTCATCTGGCCAAACAAGAAAACATAGACAAAGGAACGTGGTCAAGTTAAAAGAAATCAAAACAATTCTAATTTGTACACAAATACCTATTTATTGAGCCAGGTCATACTGTCAACATTAAAATAAAAAATCACAAGCATCCCTTCAAGTACTTAACATTACAGATGAATATCGACACACACACATACATAACCGATGAAGCTTTGACCAATAAAGTAGTGCGTTTTCAGACTTTTAATCTTCCTTAGAGATTACATTTCAAGAAAGTAAACATGAAATATTTATCAAGATTACAGGTACACCTTGCTGACGAGTGCCAAGTAGCACGAAACCCGGGTCCAGGGTTTCCTGTTGACTACCTCCAACTACCATCTAAATCTCAATACATAGTGCCCGCAGTGTCGAGTCACCTAGACTGGTGGCCACATTGCAACATGATCGATAGCATTCGATCTGCACTAATAAGGACTAGACAAGCATGACATTGATCACCACCCAGTGGTCAATCAATTATGAAATATTTATCAATTTTAGTCGGACAGAACTGTGGAGATTTTAGTTCAATTTGTAGGTTGTATTCATTATAATTCAATGTTAATTAGAGGCCCATTAAAAACTAAAGAGAAACGAATATCTGTACACATAAGACTCTGTGTGTATTTGAATTGAGAACTATGTGGTACTGAAACGAGCACTTAATTATCAATGGTACAATTACAACTTATATCGATTTGTGACAAAGATCGACGATCACCTAATGGTAATATTAATTTTACTTTTCAATGTAGTTTTGTAATTATCTAATCATACTAGATTTGGATTTTATTACGATTATCATTTAATTACAATCTACTCGTCATAATTCATTCATATTGAAAGTTTCTATCCAATTTTACTTCAATCAACTGTCCAAACCACTGATCAATAAATTAAAGTTTAAGCGTTCTCGTTCGAGAATAATATGTCCTAGATTCGAATCTTGCGGGACGGGATCGTGGATACGCACTGCTAGAATAAAACAGCTGTTCAGTACTTTCAGGTTTTCCATGATGGTCTTATTTTATTTTATTTATGTGAACACATAAACATTTATGCATCCAGTGATATAATTTATTTATGTGAACACATAAATATTAGTTCAAAGGGACACCAAATACATATCTGCCAAACAAGTCGTTTGATTTGTGTGTAGGCTATGATACTACTCGGGTGCCGAAACCGAAACAGGTGGTTTTCTTAGAGAACCACAAATGGAGCCTTCAGCCTGAAGGTTTGGTCCATAAGGCAGTGGAGCAACGTAAGGAGATGCAGTCCCATGGTAGCCAGTCATCAATAATTGGTTCATACTCAATTTGTTCCGTCGGGATCCTGGAGCCCATGAGCACCATTGGTTTTGAATGAGGGTTTTCCAACCCCCTTAGGTAGACTCGCCATGTCCACCAACCCGATTAAAGAGCCAAATGTTCGCTTTTCGTCCTTTCAATTTCGTAAACAACACGCCCGCCACGGGAAGGCAGTGAGTAGGACTTCCCTGATAGTTGTTGTATGCACGTGGCCATGTGAGAGCATTTCGAGAAGGAGAGTTTACTCTCACTACTTTCAGCCGTATCAGAGCATTTGTGAGTTCTTGATGGTCCAGCTTCAATTGACTTATGAATTCAATGAATACAATCTTCACATAACCCCTCTCTCTAATGTTAATTTATTATTTTATTGTGTATTGATCCTCTTTATTTATGTAAATAATAAACTAATTGCAATTTAATCTTTTTGATATTTACCTACAGATTAATTATTAAATGTATTTATATGATTGGAAATGAGGTTATTATTACCTTTTCACAATATGTACTTTCTACAATGTTAACATGATATTTGTTGCTAAGGCTAAATAGACATATATACAGTTAGAGATATTGATTAAGTAGTATAAAAAGAAATAGTAATAATAATAATAAAGTAATCAACTGAATAGTATCCAATGAATTATAATCATGTATACTTTTCCAATAACTGGTAATTTGACAGTGAACAAGGCGACACATTCTGTTATACACAAGCTATATATGTATATGTATAAATGGTAAACACAAGAGACAATTTGTCATATATATATATATAACATCAATAACGAGTATAACCCATTTCTTCCGTTTGTTTATAATGAACTTATTTACGATGAATAGAATATCAGTAATATGTTGTGTAACACTATGAAATATGGATTAATTGTTGTTCAAATGAAAAGTAATTACAGATAATTAGGAAAATACTAATTGAAAGTATTTCAAGGGTAAAACAATAATTAAGTATTGCTTGATATGATAAGTCAATCAGTTATCAACAATGTAGAACTTCGTACATACGTACGTACGTACATCAATTCGAGTTGCTATACCATATTAGCACAGAGATACAATTGTTGATTCAAATCACATAGTGGTAGAGATAGTAAGAGTATAAGCAGTAATCGGAAAGATTATGGTTTTAAGATGTTAGTCAACAAGTATAATCCAGTGAAATAAATTTGGAAAGAGAAAAAATAGGGGCATGAATATTTCAGAAGATTAGAATTTGGGAGGACATAAAGAGTGGATGCACCTGCACCATTACAAACGATTTCGAGCCATGTCATTCAAGGTCGCTAATCATCGGTTACTATCGTCTCGCAGATCCCAACCAGGTAGTTTACACCTATCAGTCTACTTGTCAGTGACTTTATGGATTTGTGTCATGTTATGGTCTGGTCGCCCCTGGCTTCCTTCCAACCTACTCCTACACCATATGATGAGTACAGTTTTAATACACTGGAGACTAAGTGACCTTCAAATGGATATTCTCAAATTGTTTATAATACCTTATCATGATGGTCGTCATGATAATGTTGGACATAAGTGTTGTTTTATTGGATATAAAACCTATTATATTGAGTAGCTATCATGTATTTTAATACCAGTATTCTCTATTCTACTTTTCAGATAATGAATTATGGTTATTACGAATAGGGGATATTCGTATTTCAAGCATTGCTCATGTATATTGTAATCGATGAGTGAACAATGCTAAGTTTCGGCATAAAGCACTAGATAAAGTTTGTGAATTGATTGATCAGGTAGCAATAGTTTATCAAGTACGATGCTTGGAACATAAATAACATATACCCGACCACCAACTACCTGAAAGATGTAGTGATACATGGGAGAAGGTTAGAGACTTCTGAATCACGAGGACATATTAATGTATTAGGTTATTGACAAC